TACCTGCCTGTTTGAAGCGACCAATTGGAAACTAACAAGTATACAGAGGTTATACAGATGGCAAAATCTGACAAAATCAAATGTGAGTAACAAGGTAAATGAGTTGAAGCAATGTTAGTTTTCCATGAGGCAGGTTCTGAACGTCGTGTAAACACTCAGACACACATGACTCATATCTTCGACATCAGGCGAGCACATGGCCCGCAGTCGTCAGTCGTGATGAGGAACCTGGAGGGCAGACTTTTTTTGTCAAACTGTGTTTTTCCCAAACGATGATGAAAGATTGCGCTGAAGTAGAAATTCAATCGAAGTGGCTTATGACAGGGGCAGAAATTAAGCTTCCCTTTTCTTCTCAAACTAGCAGAAGAAACCTTTCAGAGACGAAAATGCAATGTATGTGTGTATGCATGTGTGTGTGTGTGTGTGTGTGTGTGTGTGTGTGTGTGTGTGTGTGTGAGAGAGACAGAGTTTCCCATGTCTGTAGACTGACTGATAAAACATACAAAGTGTGTGGGTTTCATTTCTTTATCTACAGAGACATTAATAACACTTGATAAAGAAGGTTCACCGCAAACATACACTGCCCTCTTTGATTGGTCCGCTGCTTTGACATCACACTACAAAACCTTTCAGAGTCATTTAATACCTCTGAGTGAAGAGAGTGCTGGAGGGAGATAATAAATGTCTTTAAGGTGTGTGTGTGTGTCATGTTTCAGGTACTCTGATTGCTATTAATTGTCTGTACATTATAAACTCTGTCTTTGTTTTACTTTCTTTTTCTCAGCTCGGTGAGTTACCAGTGAGTTACACACACTAAGATTTATTTTTCTCATAGTCCACTGCACAGCTCCTACATTGCACCTTTTGTACATTTTGTGTTTTTTATTGATATCTATTTTCTATTTTACATTTTTTTACATTATTTTCTATATTGTAATAGCTTCTTTTACTGTATTGTTTAAGTTCCTGCTGGTTCTGCTTTATTTCCCTGTTAATTGTTTAACACCAATACACCGAGTCAAATTCCTTGTATGTGTACATTTTTTTCAAAGGACACAGAAAATATCGGCCATGTTCTCTTTTGTTTTTTTTCAGAGGTGATGGGAAACAACAAGATAGTGTATCAGTTTGAAATGTAAAGCTTTAAAAATCTATCCTGTGCTTTGTTTTCTTAATAATGGAGCATCTCCATCCAACAGGAATAGAAGACAAAATACTTGGTTGGACTTTTTTTTGTGTAAAGGATAAATACAGTAATCTTGTTCTTTACCAGGCATTTTCCTAACGATCATTACTAATCCAACTTTCATAATCCTGCAGGAGGCATTGCTTCCCTTGAATCTTTTGTTTAAAACTCCATTTAATTGGGTTTTTTTTTTCTACAGGGAGCTAAATCATATTGAAACATGAGCTTTATCTGGAGTATTTATTTGGGGGATACCTAAAGCTTAACCAAAAGGCTGCATATTAGATGTGATCCTAATCCGAGCAAAACACACACACAGACGAATACACACAAGCACACCTAGATAAACAAGTAGGGCCGCAGCAGGAAATGATCTGTGACTCTGTAAAGCGTTACAATGAGGTCAGTTCTGATGAATGAGTGCTCCCAGGAGCCTAATCAACCCGTAATGTATCATACTCATATACACATACACACATGTACAGGCTAGCCCCTAAGCTACTAGCTAATTGCTTCACAAACAGGTCAGCACTTACGGTAAGAACACAAATTTGTTTGACTTTTGTGGTGAATGTACGTAAGGTTCTCACTTGTGTTCATGAGGGAAAGGAGAGGCCCATGCCTGGCACAGGATCCCGCTCACTGTCACCGACCTCCGACCCCTGTAGCTCTGACCGGCACCCACAATGCACTCCCGAACATAGTCTGAGAAAAAGAGGCAGAAAGACATTTAAAAAAAAAAAAAAAAAAAAAAAAAAGAGAGAGCAGGTCAATGGGATGAGCAACAACCTGAGTAAAATGTTGTCCACACACAGAGCCAGTAAGGATGATGAAGAAAACAGACAGAGATGTTTCAGCTGTAACATGGAGGGAAAAAAAAAAAGATCTGTTTTCCTAATCTTCCCCAAAAACATTTGGATCCAGTAAAAAAAGAGGCTGCACAACTCGCATGTTCACTGTTGTGGTCAGTCAAGAGTGGGGTGGTGGGGGGGGGGGGGGGGGGGGGTTTCCATCGTTTAAACAAACACCACGTAATGACAGAAAATGGGCCATAATGTGCGGCGACACAGTAAACATGACAAACGTCCTTGCCCTTCCTCGCCTTCCTGTTGAGGGATGATATCATTAAAAGGCTACAATGACCCTGTTAACAGGCGTTTATAGAGATGTAAAAAAATAATTTAACATGCTCTAAAAACAAACAACTACACTAAAGCCACATTGCTGACTGGACCATGGGGGGGGGGCATTTTTTTATTTTTTTAACATTTTAGTAAACAAACCCACATAGGCCTATTCCTCCCCCTCCCCCTCCCCCTATTTGAAACCAACATTCAGTTGGTTAAAAGAAAGGAGAAAAGTGACAGGCACCTTTCTTTTGATAGAGTTGGTAGTTGAAGTCCTGCTCGGTTTGAGCTCCTGGTGAGTTCCTGTCAAACGACAGCCACTGGCATTTCCTGTTTTTATGATCATAGAGGAACGCTCTAGAGAATAAGGAGGAAGATGAGATGGGGGGGAAAGTGAAGAGCATAATGGATAGTTTTATTTCAATGTCTTGAGGCAAAAACACAGGAGTATGCAAAGCAACTTAGTCGCCTGCCAAACAGGATAGGCAACAGTGCATATTACCATCAAAGGCATAATTATAGTAATGAACTTGAAAACACCCTCTTAACACTCTTGCAAACTGACATTAATATAGTGGGAGAGTTACAGAAAGGCAAACAGGAACACTGCCGCTCACAGACATACCTGCAGGTGAAGGGGAGTCTCTTGTTGCGACTGCACGCTTTGGCACACTTGGCCATGCTCAGTTTCCTGTTTTTGGTCAGGTGGGAGGAATCGGGAGTGACCACGACCAGACGTATACCATCGGTCTTCTGGTAGTCCTGGAGCGCATTTCTCCTGCCCTCTGAAACACAATTACACAATCAACCACGACAGCTCAGCACTCCCTGCATTGTACAAGTAAAGCTGGCAGTCGTCTGCATAGAGTGTGATTTAAACACCATCCTTGATTAAGATCACAAATCACAAGACACTTGATTATGTTGGCATTTGATACACACTCTAGTTTTGTATTATGGCTTGATGGCTCTGCCACCACAGGGAATTCAGCTCAGATGACTTTAATATATCCAAGCTCATCATTAACACAGGTTAATCATACTTCATGTTCTTTCAATTTTATTTTACTATATATAGCTTCTGTTATTTTATTTTAAATATATATATGACTACCATTATGTTTCTAATTTACTATGGAAGTTTTCACACACAACACTCACTCACTCACTCACAGACAGACAGACAGACAAAGAAATCAGTGCTTTGAATGCCCATAAGCAAGTGCTCTGCAGATTTGGACTCAGACATTTACATTTAGACAGAAACCCATGCCTCTTTATCCTCCTTTCTCCTCCTCCTGCTTATTACAGCTCTTCCTATTTGCACTTCAGCCGGCGGTATCAACACCGAAAACTGCATCACATGGTGAATTTGTTTGAAAGGTTCCTGGAAAGCTGTTTTCTTATTAATTACTCATCAATTCTTCTGTAACAAAAAAGAAAAGTTTCACATAACAGAGCTGCCCTCTTAAAGTCTGTTATTTGGTTGTTTGGGAGAAGTGGGGAGCATATCATTGTATGTACCAGAGGAATAACGTTTGTCCGTTTGCCAACTTGACCGACTCGGCAGTTTCTCTGCCTGAGTGCCCGCATGCTCAATGAGCCGCGAAATCGCGCTCTGTTAGGACCACAGGATGACTGAACCTCTAATTTGATTGTAATATGGGTCATGTCGTGGGACAGTGGGTTGCTTCTTTTTTACTTTAACATTTCATTTATTCGTCTTGTGATCTATTCAGATATATACAGGCCCTTTGTATTGATACGTTGTAGTGCGTGCGTTGTAATGCGCACTGATCAGGTGAGGATGAATAGTCTGGAGGGAGATGACATTAAAAAAGCCCCATCTTAAAGTCAACACAGACAAAAGCATCGTTCTCACCTCTCTAAACTAGCTTTTCCTTTTGTGAAGGATGCATTCTTGCACTGACAATATATTCTAAACAGCACAATCTTTACTGTATAAGATGCAAAACATATTTGATTTATTCTAAAAGGACACATGCATCGTCCTGTAGATCGTAACGAGGTCTGGTCATATAATATTTAAAAAAAGAGGCTACAATAAAGTTCCATGAATACAGCTTTCTTTACTCCAGTTTTGTGGGTCCTGTTCGCGTCCAGAGCAGTTGTAAAAAAAAATGTTTGTTCGCTTAACTTACCAGAGTAAGAAACGACGAAGAGAGGCAAGAGGAGGGTATAAATCCACATCTTCGCGTTGTGCTGCATCAAAGTTTTAGAAGGGAACACAACTAAAACGCTTTTCCGCTGTTCTGTCTGAAAGCGGGCAGGAGATGTTGCTTTCACCACTGTGCGGAGGATGCGTCTCCTCTCTAAGTACTTCTCTCTCTCTCTCTCTCTCTCTCTCTCCCTCTCTCTCTCTCTCTCTCTCCCTCTCCCTCCCTGCCTCACTCTCTCCCTCTGTTTGCGTGAGTGTGACTTTATCTCTCCCTCTCCCTCTCTCTCTCTCCACTCTATCTCTAGCAGGCTCCGCTTCCCCAGTTTTGAGTGATGCACATTAAAGTGACATTCAATATTGCAGAAGTAACAGCGACATGTGTCATCAGTGCATAATTGCAACTGTGCGTTAAAACCCCTTCAATAATAATAATAATTATCATAACAGACTGCTTATTTCTTACTCTCTTTCTTCTTCCCCCTATCTGTGTGTCCTTCAGTCTAAAACCTAAACCTATTGAACTGACTTTACAATTGTGCAACAACTAGGCTACATACCTTTTCATTAAGCCGATTACCCTTTGCATTATTGCACTGAGTTGTGCACTATAAGGGACTTTCTTCAAATAAATGTACTAATACTAAATCACAGGGATTAGGGACAAGAGGATGTATTGTAATTGTTCTGCTTATTCTGTGTCCATCCCGCCCTTTCACACAGCCTCACGCAGCAGCATCCCGCTTCATTCTGTGTCTTTTAACACAATTACCGGGCAGCACACTGTGCAGAGTGAAGCAGACATTGGCAGGCACTTGTCCGTGACGGCAGACTTAGTGGGGATGCAGAAGAAAGAAAGGGGGGGGGGGTATGTGGGGTTGTTTATGCTACTTCCCCCCCCCCTCCCCTACCATCTCAGATAAGAAGTTAGTGGTGATGGGTGGAAGAGGACAAGATATCTCCTGAGTGTCATCTCTATTTCCAGCGATGACAGCACGAGATAGGAGATGTGACACTTAGCTAAATAGCCATAGCATGCTAAATAGGGGCCCCTTTAAGGTAAAAAAAATCACATTAGTTATCACAGTGAAGATCAGGAGTAACAGCATGATGGGGATTCCCGGTAGTTTCTTTTCAGACTCACACCATGTGCACATAACAACCCAGAGGGAAAAGGAGGATAAATATGCAGAAAAGGAGGCAGGCTCCATCTCTATAGTCTCTCTGGTTCAATGAGTAATGCTCCCGTGGCTTCCTGACATGGACCACAGAGTCATTCGCGATAATAAACAATCAGCCATGAGTCAGATACTTTCACTGCTTTCGACAGCACAAGTCTTCTCCTTTTCTTTTAAAGCCTCCTCTACCTGGAAATGCATGCAAAACACCACCGCATTCACCGTCTACTGCAGGCATTCAGACCCTGCTTTCTGCCCCTCATCACATTCAACAAACACGCATGCTCACACATAACAAGCAGCAGATGACTGGATAACCTTCACATAACAAAAAAGCTCTCATCACCACAATCTCATTACTGACTCTCCGAGAAAGGAATCCAGTGGGTGTTTTTCACAGTGTCTGAGAGCAACAGCTTCTGCTAGAAGATGGAAATCAGAGAGCGAGAGAGAGACACACAGCCAGTAGCCCACTGCTCCCACATACGAGTGCCGTCACCATTCAAGACTCCTGACATCTGTGGCTGGTTATATTGCCAGAAAACTTCATATCTCCATGCAGCTGGTAATGACGGGAGGAAGTTCAGTGGGAGATGGAGATGATATGGAGAGTAAGATGAGAGGAAAATGGCTCGACTGTAAGCAGGAAGGTACAATACGGACCACTGTGCTCCACGCTGCTCGGTATGAGAGCATATTTGTGGAGTGTGTGGATTATTAATAGACTTCCTGTAGATTTGTTTTTTGTGTATTGTGTGAGCCATGTGTTGTATACTATTATTCCCCTGTGCATGCATGTGCATGTGTGTAAGTGTCCATATGGTCATGTTTTCATCTGCAGCACATTCGCTGGAAACTCCTTGCGACCTCAAATCGTTCCAGCCTCTCCTCCAGATATCAGTCATGTGACCTTTCTGTACGAGAGATGGATTAAAATGGAAAAATTTGAGATGACGGGAATAAAGAACAGAATGCGAGTCTCTGAGTGGGACAGGGAGAGATAAGGAAAAGTGGGAAAGGGTCTCTAAAGGAGGAAGTTATGCAGGTATGTCACTCCTAATGAGAATAAGGGGTTTTTGTTTGTGCGTCTTGAGTGTGTGGGTTTGTGTGTGCGGGGGGGTTTAGTGATGACAGTGGTTGGGCCACGATGCTGTAAACACAGATACTGTGTCAAGAGATCCTCCTTTAAAAGAAAACACACGCTTCCTGTTGTCAGTGTTTTGCGATTGTAGAGTCACTGCTGGTAATTGAGATCTGCCGACAGTTACAGCTAACACAAATAAACGGAGTGCAAACACGATCTGACCGTACAAACATTATGCAAATGTGGCTGTGTGCAAAACACAACTTTTTCTTTTTTTTTCATAGCATCTCTGTGGCCTGCCTTCAAGACATATTTCCATTTTATTTTTCCGACTTCGACACTGAGGAAAAAGAGTGGGCAGCAGACGGAAATGGAGAACATTTTTTTTTGTAACACTTCAGTTGATTAACATGCACATTAGCAGACTGAGTCACCAACACATCCCCAGAAATAGCCTTAAAGAGGATCAGAGGGCCGTAACACATTAAACCCACTCAGTAAGCATATATTTCCTTTAGATAATCTGCTCTATATAGCAGCAAACAACTACTTTTTGTCATTGTCCTTAACCCTGGAACCTATTGATCTCAGAATGTCAAAAGCAAAGTGTTATTTTTTTGTTTGTTGAATACTTATTTGCGATGTGTTGCATCATTCAATTTGACAAAGTTGTCACTTCAGCAGACATCCCCAGGCATATTTATTTTGCGTTTAACCTACTGTGGGTTAAACCATCCAAGAATTATTGAGTCCATAGACAGTTTCAAGCAAACAAACTCAGATCATTCTTTTATTGGGACACATCTAGTCCCACACTTGCTCGACTTGAAAGAACGCACTCAGTCCACCGTCCTCATTCAGCCTTTTGTCCGTCCCCGCTCTTGTGTTTATGGGTGTTGATGTGAACGCTGGAGGGGGAACCTTGGAACAATTCGTCGTCACATCGGGCTGGCGAGTTTGTATATCCACTCAAACCATAACTGTTTAAATTACACATCCTTTAACATGGTACACATGAAGTGTGTCACACAAATACATCAACATCCCACACGCACTCTATTGTGGCAGCTGACTGACAGCGGAGGTCAGTCACTACAGAAGCACAGGCGACTGAAGAGCTCCCACAAATAGTCCATGTGTACTTACACAACCTGGATTGTATAAGGACTCTTTTGTACTATTGCAGTACATATATGTTTATTTTAGAATCAACCTTCCTGAAAACTGCCAAACACTTGTACCTATACTTCCCTTTTGGACCTATAAATTAATACTTGAAATGTATATTTTTAAACATATACACTTAATTGACTTTGATAAAACTGAGTGTATTTGATGAAGACACTTTTTTTTTTCATTGGAAATTTCAAATTTTGGCTTAAAAAAACACATTAAAGTGAATCCTTAAGCAAACTTCAAGCATTAACATGAACTACAAACAAATAATTACTGCATGTTCTCAAAATAAAGCCAAACAAGTAAACTCAGTAGTAGCCTGAGGACGGGAGGAAAGGGCAGAGAAGGTCTTAAAAATAGTGCCTCAACCTGTTTTTCCCCATTTCTTACACATCTGCTAACAGTCAGCATGTCTTGTCTGCTGCTTACTGCTTATTTACCCCCGCATGACTCACATAGAGCTGGAGACACACAGTGAAGGGAGGGTGGTTGGTTAAATTAAAAAGTGGAGGGAGAAAAAAAAAAAAAAGGTTCTCTGGGGTGGCAGATATATTTGATTCCACATGAGTCAGTGTCAGACCTCATATGTGTGATTTAACATGTTGATGGTAAACATGACATGGGGCAAGCGGGACTGCTTGCAGCCTGCAGCTTGGCCGTTCAGAGCCAACCCTTTATTCATTTGCCAGACACACATTAAAGTAACAAAAGGTTACAATACACAAGAAACACATTTTTTGTGGGGTCTGTAAGAGCCAGCAGCTACAGTTTTATCACAAAGTTAAATAACATAAACACTGCAAAAATTGATCAAAGATACTAACACACACCAATTCCATCCCAGGTATTACATTTGTTCAGACACACTGAATGAGGATGGAAAAAAAAAGAAAAAACATGTCAGAGTTTCCACTTATCAATATTTATAATTCAATACATAGAATATGGATTGGGACAGAAATTCATCGCCCCCAGAGGAAGAATCTCAATGACTCACTTTAGTGATCCCATGACTTTCCCCCCAGCAGCACCAGCTGGCCATAGCTGTCACCAGCCTAGTGAAATAGCTTTACGTCTACATAACGGATTGGGACAAATTCTGATAGAGACATTCATGATCCCCTTAAGCTGTATAATAAAAAGAATTCTGGCTTCATCCACTGGGGTCAGAAATGTCCCAACATGATTTTTGTCTTCTCAGTTGAAGTACCATATGTACAATTAGGGGTTTTTCCCAGATTGTTGGATTGTATTGTATTTACTGGGAGGTAAACCATTGTTATCAGTGAAATGTCCAAGGCTGTGGAAACTAGAGATCCTCTACCAGCTATGATCGTTGTATCTAATTAAAATCAAATTTATTTTACTAGTTAACATAAGGAAAAGTTTATTTGGATAACGTAAGGCAGATAGTCATCGACTAGCAATGCAATAACGAAAAAACTATCTTACTATCTCACATGCAAACTATTGAGTTCCAACAATAATATAACAAAGAGTATGATCTAACCCTTCTGTTTTTGTAAAGAGTCTTGAGAAAACATTTACTATGAATAAGTGCTAAAGAAATGAAGGTTGATGGATGGATGGGTTGATTGATTGTACTGTGATTTTAGTGGAAATAATCTTGGTTACTGCCTTGTTGCCAGCTTAGATTTAGATTTAGGCTTGGCTTTAATGACACCACACTAAACCAATTGTGTTTATGGGGCTAATTGGTCATGGTACGAAATCTGTGCATTGAGTGGCAAAATTGTCCTTACCTAGTACCCAAATCTGGATGTAAGGCAGTATGGAGTTCTGATATTGGTGTTGGTATCACCGAATACTTATTCATTTGTGTGTAACTTTAAACCAAACAAAATTTCTTACCATCAAAACAAGTGGTAAACCAAATGTTACCCTATGTTGCATTTTAAAGGTGGGGTTTGGGATTCTCAAGAAACTCAACTTCAACAGCCAAACCTAACCATCCCCTCCCATTACCCTGCCCGCAATGTTCAAAGATATGCTTTGGGGAAGGACTCTAACAACTAACACATAACACATGCTGCCAGAGGGAATATAAGGCCCAATAGCGGAAGCATTTTTTCATCCTTATCATGATTTAGGCATGTTCCTAATGGGCAAGAACATGGACCAGTAAAAGGTGCTGGAGGGGCTTGAGAACCATGCAAGAATGGTACCCTCTGCTATGGAGGCACAAACTGTGAAAGCAAAAAACCTGGCAGCAGGACTTCTCAATTAACATGATGGTGAAAATACACCATCATGTTATAAGTGATTCTGTAAACACACTATGCAGTTTTATTCCATGATCACAGAAATAGGTAATGAAGGACACTTAACAAAACACCTGATTCTAAAAGCTGTGTGAAACATACCCGTGAACCTATAAGTAAATGTGCGTGCCCCTCCCCACAAATCTAACACCTCATGTTACCAGTTCATACTGTATGTTAGGCCCCCACTCTAAATAGAGGGAAAATCCACAAATCAATCCCCAATCTGGACTGGAATGGAATGTGTCCCGTTGAGACCGTTCACCTGGACGGAGTTTTTTCAGCGCAACGCCTGCCAATCAAACTGAACACACAGTAATACACAGGCACAGCATTTTTACAATGTGTGAGAAGAAGAAGAGAGAAAAAAAACAAGGTAGTGAGGAACCGACAACTGTGTTATTATGTTTATGGGATTGCTGAAAGCCTACGGCATTTCCCAATAATCCATGCCAAGTCTGTGTTTTGTGTTCTCTCCCAACAACCAATTTGTCTTGACACGTTACATTTTCCTTTTTCTTTTGCTAATATATTTCAGCGTTTTCTTTGGCTTACTTAATGGCTAGGCCGGTTGGGGGAGAGAAGGGGAGAAGGTGCAGCTGCCTGAAAGTTTTAACAATCGCAGGAAAAGATCTGAGGCTTTTTAAGATATTTTGTTTCTGTGATGAACTTCTTCGATTTGATGATATCTGTATTTCCCCTTTAGCTGCAAACTTAGGGTTAGCAAAAACAACATGATTTATCTACAGATGCTTTTTTATCTGAGGGAGGATGGGGGGAGGGGGTTGTTATACATGAAAACACAGTAGACTCTGCACTTAGACTTGTTTTTTTACGAGATGTCAGAGCTATGACCCTGATGGCCCTGACCTGCTGTGTTTTATGATGACGGAAAAACTGTGACCTTTTCCGTTGCTGCTTACAGGAAGTGTACACTGTTTTTTTTTAAAAAGAAACAAAAGGTGCCAATTAAAAATCATGTGCTAAATGTAAACCACGTTATAGTAAGCAGATTGAGGGAAGTTTATTCAGACTCGGGTTGATTGCCCGGGGGGATGTCATGATCTTGAGGTTGCTTTGAGTACTGGGACTAAATTTAGTGCTAACAGTACAATCAAAGCGTCACTGAGTTGCAAACTGTTCCAAAAATAGCTTTTGCCGGTCCAGTACTACGCAAGTGGGTGTCATTTTTACTATCAAAATAATGTTACTGAACTTTCGAGGGCTTTACTAATGACATGCTGATACTTGCAGCTCCAGATACAGGTCATGTTGTTGATGCAGCATCAATCTTGTGTGTCACTTCCTGCAATTAGTGGAACAAACCCAAGAAGCCACTCTAATACTCTAACTGAACCACCAATGAGTCATACAGCTCTGGCTGCAATGTCTTACGATTGGTGGAAATGTTTCTTTCTAGGGGAACCAAAATCTGCTGATGTTCTGCAAAAAAAACATGTGTGATGGATCAGGTGGTGTAGAGAAAACAGCTGATGGGCACAAAACCTTAAAAACAGAGTTTGAAAGTGTTTTTTTATTGGTAAATGTGTTAAGTAAAATACCCTTATCTCAAATTAAATGGCTCTATTGTATGACTATTGGTAATGACTGGAAAGAAACTGTATAAAAGAGTTTTCCTATCACACAAATCCTTTTTTATATCCACATTTTTACTTGTACAAAGTGCAAACAAAAGCTGAATTAAAACTCTCCACTGTACTCTAAACTGTCCACTGTACTCTACATACTGCAGATATTGCAGGCCAAGAGTTTACCAGAAGGTCTGCCTAACATATATGGTCATTATTTGAACCTTTTCCTCTATTTTCCTCTCCAAACAAATGGTTTTAATAATATGATAAGAACATGGACTTGTGTCCTAAGACACATGCCAAACCTTCCCAATCGTTTCTGTATTCAATTCCCTCTTGCTCTCCCACAAATGTTTCCTGTCCCTTTGACTGCCAGGGCTCTAATATGAATGACAAATAACAGAACTGGGATAAAAAGTTGGTAATCTGTTGCATGTGTCGCATTGACTAAGTTGAGCCATCATCTGGACAGTCACTCTGGTTCACCATGTCAGCGGAGAGGTTTGCTAGTTGTCATAGATAAAAATGAATAATGCCAGAGTACAGAAATAAGGAACAAGCTTTTTTTTTGTGTTGTTGCATGAAACGACTTTTCTTTATCATGTTTTAAATTTGGTCTTTCATTCTCTTCTTGAGATTTTCTGACTGCAGAGGTACCCTGAGTGACAAATTGAAAAGAGGTGCAGGACTTGCCCCTTCTTTTCCTGCGTCTGTTACTTCTTAAGCCCAACATGTTAAAGGCTAAGACCTCGTCCCCATTTACAAGAGTATCCTGTTACAGCCTCCCTTCTATGTATCACCATATAGCACACACACAAGGACCTCCCAACCTGACACAACTCCAAGAAAAACAAACACCTTTTATACCCTCCACTCAAAACTGTGGACATATATTGATTCTTAGATTACCATCAGATAAACACAAATACCATCTCGTGAAGCGCACTTGTTTTACTATTACCCTGTATCTCTGGGTGTTTAGCATCTGGCTTTCCACTGCTGCTCCGGCCAGCAGAGAAAGCAGAACTATCCGTGTCAATGATGTTGCCAGAGGCGTCTCATAAATTCCAAAACATTGGAAGGTCGTTCTACATACAGTCGGGTGTTCCATGTTTTAGGGAGCTTCAGTTGTCCTTCTCACTTCTGGTTTAAATGTGATTTTCACATGTTGTCTATGTGTTGGCACCCAAGAACTGAGCAAACAGGAACGATCTAATTAATGGATTTCTATTGAGATGCCATTTCTATGGTAAATTAACTCTTTACTTTTGCATTTTTGTCCAAGGGTGTCAATTTTTACGACTAAATCTAGTAAGAAAAAGAGAGTTTGATTCAATTTTACATTAGATAAGGTGTTGGGAATCCATCACCAACCACAAGTCCACCTCTCTGTTTGATTATATTAACTGTCCCAAAGTAACACTTAAGTTTACAAATGCGTATCTTTGGGACAGCATACCAAATCTCAAAAAACCTAATTTTACTGATCCTATAATGAGTGTTAACTTTTATATAGTGATGTAGAAGTGAACCCTGTGTGTGTATGTGCACTATGAAATCCTAGACGAGCATGCAAACATAAGACTTTAAACTTTCAACCAGAAATTGTCGTGAAATACACTTTTTCAGCCAGATGTAACGTCACCTATGATCTTGTATGTGCCTTGATATAACTAGGCAGGAAATAAATGAACTACATGTATAGAGTTACAGGCTGTTTGATAAAGTAGCAATCACTCACACCTCACACACAGACAAGGTGAAACACAGATGCGGATGTGCTTCCCTTCCTCAGCAGCTGTCTCTTTCTTCAGGAAGGATGATATGATCTGGTCTGCTCCCACTGGAGCCAAAGCATCTGGCCAGATGTGACAGAATCAAAAAAAAAAAGAAGCACCTCAGGTCATAACAATACAACACTTTTATTGTGAATATATTATATCTGCACAATAATCAACACCATATTATAAACATTTTTCTTCCATTTCATTTTCTCTTTTATACAGTAAATAGTATAAGTGTACAAATGTATACAAAATTTATTCAGGCTAGTCAAGATCCACAAAAGAGTAATTCATGTACAGTATTAAAGCACAATCAGATATCGGAGGGACACTCACATGCCTGCACATAGACACAGGACCCCCCCCCCCAGATAAAACACAAGTCAACACGCGACTTTGATAGACAGGCATTTTCTGAACACTCAACACCAGCAGGTCACCATGAGGGCCACATGAAGAAAACTGATTTTAACTTTTAAAACTGGCTAAAAAAAAGGAAGGAACGTATTTATGATCTTACTGACTTTTGATTAAGTAAGGCAATGTAAAGTTACCACTGGTAATAGTGTTAGATCTCTCCAACAGGCCCTGATGCTGACCCTGGGCAGAGGCAGCGTTCAAACACAGAAACAAGCTTTTCCCATGACAATTGCAGCGTTTGGACACTGAGCTTTCAGCGTCTGCTTCACAGCACTTATAGAGCAACACAAAGAGGAAACAAGCAGAAGGAGGAGAACACTGAGGAGAAGAAAATGAAAGAAACAGTCAATTTGTTACGCGCGATCTCATTCAAAAAGTCATCCTGGCTCCTGAGTCCGGTGATCAAAAAGGGTAACGGAGACAAGAGTAATAAAGAGAGGTGTCGGAATGCAATCTCAAGTCTGGTTTAGGTTTGTTTTGACCATGGAGGGAAATTATATTCCTTTCCAATAACCAAAATCTCTGACGTTATGGGGCCAACATAAAGTTCAATAACTGCAGCAGATTTGGCCCCGTTTCTCAATATATCAGTGCAAGGGCTATCCTCCATGCTATGCATTAGCATTAGAATAGCATACATGGTAGGAAAACAAACTCAGATGCACTGCTTCATTCAGATAACAGACTGAGCTACTATGTAGGCACTGGGGATTTTGATGCATCAAATTGAAGACAACTAAAGCTGTCCAAACCAAGTACAAATATATTTGAGTTTGTAAGATCCTAATACAGTTTTGATTCGCAACGTGTGCTCTCTTGAAATCTCCATAACTTGAAAACAGATGAACACCTACATCAGAGGGAATATCTTAAAATAAACTGGCCTGCAGAACTCTGTAGTAGGCTGCGTATTACTGTATTGGTACTGTGTGGAGCTTTGGTGTCAAGAGTGTTGTCTTTAGCTCTGTACTGAGCACATGCTGCTACAGTGCAACACCCATCTAGTCACAAAATGCTATTTGATTTTTGAGTAAGAACAAAAAAAACAAAAAACAGAGATAAATAGATAGGTACAGTACATTTAAAAACACTCAAACAGAAGGGATATTCTTATTAGTTGCACTGGTTGCCAAAATAAACAGATCATTACAGCATAATGATTCATACGCAGTAAGTATAATAAGCAACAAACGATATCGACAACTACACAAATCAACGCTGTCAGTGGACGTACAGTCTTTTCATGATATTCAGTTGGCATAGTGGAGACAACTCTGCGACCTCCGCTAAAAGAACTCCGAGAAACAAATGAGGCAGAATTAAAGGGTTTGGTTAGCTCTTACTCTTGCACCATAGGAGAGTGTTAAGGAGTATATCATGGGAGTGAGCGCAGCTGAGCACAGTAAATGTGTCTCTGTTTTTTGGAAATGACGAGGAGGAAATGCATGAGCACCCTTTGGCATTGGAAAAATGGAAATGCTGATGAAAATGTCTCATTGCACATATTCTCTATACATCCTGGATGGCAGAACTGGAGTGTCTTCTGGCCTCTTGTGAAATGGGATGATGATCAGTTTGTGAATGGATGAATGTGTGTGTGTGTGTGTGTGTGTGTGTGTGTGTGTATGTGTGTGTGTGTATGTAGGGGTCATAAGTGTTGCAAAGATGTGAAGTGCCACAGAAGCAGCAGTTGAAGCCCGAGCATTGGCCAAAGACACGGGCTTAGGCAGGTCCCGCCCCCACAGTCAGAATCATCCTCCTGTTGGAGAAATCAGAAGTGAATAGTTGTGATAACTCAGTGTTCTTTGACATCTGTTAGCTTTTTTAAAACTGCGCCACTGTCTGCTCTACTTCTGCTAATGCAGTTAGTAACAGCTCATGATCATATTGTATCTCATGCTTTGGTAAACTTTATTATCATAAAGCATGGATTCCTGAGCCAGGAATCAATGCTACAATCTAATACCATGACCAATTAGCCTCCCCAAAATCACCTGCTTTTATGTCAATTATCATGTGAAGCAAACAAAAAACATCATTAAGGTGCTAGCAAAGAATGTGATGGTAATCAAAGTTAGAAAAAATGTTAGCAACCCATATTTTTAAATGTTTTAAACAGCACTAGTACCGGAGAGTTACTCTGTATTGGCCGTAAAGGCAATTAAATAGTACAGAAACATCTTTGTGGCACCTTTACATCTTCATGTAGCTGTTGGCAAGATTGCAATCAAGAGTATATCAAAAATATATTCATTGAAGGCTCGGGTAAAAAGGCTCTGGTAAAAATACCTAATTCCATCTCTCATAACTGTGTGAATGCACATGTGCCTGTTTACAGTAGTTTCTAACTTTTCTTTTTTTTTTGCAGTTGATGGGAGTATTCAGGATGTCCGTGCCTGCCAAAGGCCTCAGAGACAGAGGTGGGAGTCTTCTCTATTCAAAGGACAGGAAAGCCATGTGGAGCTTCCTCTGTTTACACCGTTGGCAAAATGGACTGGCCCGAACACAAACTGTCTTCCTATGAGAAGTTGAGCCAAAAGTAGTACGACAGATGGAAAGAGGAAAAGGGAAGCCTACTTTTTTCTCTGTTCATCTACTTCCTCGGCCAATCCTCCCCTTCCCTTTGCTTCCAAGCGCAAATATAAACACACGGCCGCATGAATTAGTGGCCTGCTCCGTGTCTGATCTATGCCTTCAGAACACAATGAAAGTCTGAGTTCATAGAGTTTTAAGAAATACTTAATACGCAAATATTTGGAAGTCTTATAAACTGTTCAAAGTTTGGCGGTGATGCAATGATCTCACTCATGATTTATCCACCTAGACCTTTTGTTTCACTGACGTAAATGAAGTGGTACAGTACATGCACTTTCATTAGATCTTTTCCATTCTGCAGAAAGTGCTTTTGATGATACTGGAAACCCTAGAGTACTTTACTGATTAAAGCAAGAAGAAAATCCGAATGTGCTAAGAAAAATTACAAGATCATTTTTTGGTGACAAAGCAGTAAGCGATGTTAATTAAAGACGTTATGGTTTCTGATTAATTCATGCATAGTTATGTGCTGCTATTATTGTATTGTGCTGGTGTAGAGCTATTACATCCAATTCATTAAACACTTTGAGCTGCCAAGATTCAAGCTGCTTTCCATCTGTCGGGGTGATAAACAGGAAGAAAAAATACAATAAAGAAAGGTGTAAATAAGATGATGCATTATATTGAGGAGGTGTAGCCATGCAACAACCAGAGAAAGTCACCAACATGAATGAACACATGGAAATAATGTGTGATAGGTGGAGCGTGAATTATTGTCAAACTATTAATGTCCTAGATGTTACCGAGCATAGACTACAAAAGAAATGTTGCAAAAGAAAGTTGGATTTTCATTAAACCAACCAGCTGCGAGGATCTGCAAACCATCATGGTGCCTCGATTGCCCTCGCCAAGAACTTTTAGAGCGATTAAGAAGGAACACTAAAGATCTAATGTTGGTAATGAAGCTGTGTGAGGACACTGACCCTGAACTCAGCACCAGAAACAACAAAAGAGGTGAAGGGCTCAATGCAGAACATCTGCTGATTGGACACAAGGGTTCATCCTAGCAGACGAGAGCAGCAGCCAATGAGATGCAGAGAAACAAGACAAGAATGAAAAGAAGATGAGTAGAAAAGAAACATAGACAAAAAAGTGAATTGAAAAAAAGTGAAGTTGATGCATGCAATATTAATCAAATAATAATATAAAGGAAATGATGAAGACTAAATACACAAGGTGGATCAGAGTGGAAGATCTGGCAGTCGACAGTCCCTTGAATCGTTACAGAATTCTAATCAAAACCAGATAAAAACTGACAAGGCCGACTGTGAAAGCCTCGCTAATGGAGCTCAACAATATTATCTGCACAGAAACCACATGTGGTTGCCTCTTACGTTGTCGTTGTTGTCAAAACACACGTCCGGCCCTTTGCGATATCTGGGGTTCTGAGCCAGCTCGCATGGATCAGGCCCTTCAGCTGAACAGACACACTCAGGAAAAGTGATTGATCATCAGCAGCAGTGTGCACTTTTAACACTTTTCACAAAAAAAAAAAAAAAACAATTAGATGATGGTGCTGCTGACTCTTCGTTTCCCGCTGCCAGAAATGCCTAATGTAGTTCCAAGTTATCAGCCTTGGGTGGAGATGTGATTATTTATTCCAACTGTTTCTATAAACTGTCTAAGAGAGATTGAAATCAAACCATTCTAAAAAGCAAGCCTAGAACAATAATACTACAGCATGTTTTGCATGGTTGTCAGCGTTTGTCTGTTAAATGGTTATCATTATTAGCAGCCGGGGGCCCTCGTATGTGACCCCAGGGTAAAGTCAATGGGTGACACCTGTGCTGTTACACCAGCAGAAAGCTGCTTTTTAGGAACATCTGTCAAACAGGTATCCTGAAATAGTATCAATCCCACTCTGTACGCATATAATTACATAAATATGATACAAATTGTACACGCCCATAGTTTTAACCTCAAGTCCACCGGATAGCAGCACACAGTCCAGATGGATTCAAACAAAGAAAATGGAATCTGGTAGTAATGTGAGACATGCTTTCATATGCCCTGCATCTGGTTTACTGTTCACCCGTGAAAATCCAGGGTGGACCTACTGGAGACTCCTTAGCTGTGTGTCGTTTGCATTGTGTGTTTAAAGCCCGCTGTCATAAGGGTGATGGATGGAGGGGCTAGAGAAGGAAGTGTAGGTCTATGTTTGATTTTATTTTTTTTTTTACGAGTTGAGTGGAAGGATACAGGGTTGTTCAGCCTGTCGTAGCGGTCTGGGGTCACAGGACAAACACGTTGCCTTGGCATCAGTGATCAGGAACACTAGGTTGGTGTGTGGCAGCTTCTCGGCACGGTACATCCTAGGAAAGCATACAAGGCAACACACACACATAGAGGTTAACACATACAGTATTCATACGGTGTCATACAAGTGGATGTTACTTTTTACATACAGTCTGAGGGTATGTGGGCACACAAAGGGTTTGTGTGCCCACATTCATTCGTCCGCTCTCCTTTTTGGGATTTACTTTTTATGGAAGCCATGAAAGTTTCTGTGTCTAGAGTCGTTAACATCGGGGGAGTAGAGCCCCAGAGACACGTGGGACTCATAACACGCAGTAATTACAGACATATATAACCTCCACTGACAGGCCAAATTGACAGAAGAGGAGGTTAAAGCTAAGTAAATGTGCAGTGGTCCATGAATGTGTGTATTAAGTGTTTTTGAAGTACAGCCAGAGAGCAGAGGAAGAAAAAACAGATACAAGAACGTGTTGTGCTTCCTTTTCCTTTTACAGGTTCTGGTCACTGACAGATCAAGGTAAGCTGTGCCTGATCAGGACTCATCAGACAAACAGCTGCCTGAAATCAGACTGGAAAGACACGAAGAGATGCCAGGAAACCAAAACTATTCTGGACTCATCCCTAGAGACCAGTTAAAAGAAAGATTGTTAAGGAAGAAGACCCATTTAGAGGTGGAAATCTTTAATAACCCAACCTGTTAGAACATTCACAGTCTATAAAAACAAGAGCAAAAAACAGATTTGTGTATATATATAGACTGATATGAAAGAACGCAGACGTCGTACCTGGAACAGTTTCCACAGTCTAGGACACCTGAGTAGGATCTTTCATCATTGTCAAAGAAGTACTGAGTCTGCTCTGTGATGCAGCTTTCCTTGAACATGGTATCTGGTACATCTTCCTCTGCTGTCTCCGCTGGAAAATAAAAGACAGGTTTAATGAAAATGAAAATGAAAAAAAAAAAAAACAGGAACAAGGAAGTAGTGTGGGGTTCAATTTGGTCATATCTGGCTAATGGTTTGGAACCATATAGCTTTTTAGACTCACCTGCGTCTAGAAGGTTTGGGAATATAATACCAAAGAAGAGCTGCTGAAGTATCGACCTAGACACAAACAATAAATAAAAAGAATGATTCCAATGGATGACACATGTAAACTGTTAATAACCAAACACTGTTAAATTGACATCTGTTGGAGGTTGAAGCAAATGATGATGTAAGGAACTATCAGTAGTTCTATTATGAAATCTTGTTATGTTGCAGATGGATACAGATAATAATGCATGTTGATATTGTGTAACTTCCTTTGTCTCGCGTTGACCCCTCATTCCTCGACAACATGCAAGTCCACTCCCATACAAACCCTAAAGATCAAATGTCCTCCCACTCAGAAACACACGCGCAAAACACAAACACAAACACAAGCTGCACAAACACAAGCTGCACACTCACCAGGCAGCACTGGAGGCCCACCAGCCAATACTGAGCAAGTCTGCAATGGTAGGCTGGAGAGGAAAGGGAAAAGAAAGATATTTTGAGTAAGCAAAGCTGACAGGGATGAAGAAACGATGAATATAGTCTTTTTTTTTTGCATTTGGCCATTTGATATAACTATGTGAATTTGGTAATCAAAAAACAAATGGGACATAAAATGACATTATTGTTATAAAAAAAAAGAATAAATATGGTTTTGTATCAGAATTTTTTCTTTTTCTTTTTTTTTTCTTTTCTTTATTTTCAAAGCCCATCTCAACATGTATGTAGCGCCCGTCCCATGTAGCTATTTGATTTAGTGAATATTAAAGGGGTGTTGTAGTACTTTACTTTATGGCTGACCGTGCTTACCTGTGTAACAGAAATGAAGTAACTTATTGCTAAACCTTTTTTTAACTATTTTATGATTTTAATAAACGGCGATGCCTCCACTTAGTAAGGAAATATGAACTTCTTATCGCAAATCCCACTAAGTATTAGATTTCTAACTTAATATTCTTCTTTTTAAACTCAAAACACACCTTAAAGTCTTTATATGTGATTTTTCACACTTAAATATAATATAAATCAAGTTTATCCTCTGAAAATAACTCTGTGAGTCATGACTGTCTACAATGGGTGTAACACCTGAGTCCCACTGTCTGTGATGTTTTCAGAGTTTTCAGAGTCCTATCTTCAGTTTGTTTACATCGCCGGGACGGCCGGCTGACTCCTCCCCTCGTGTATAAAAGTTGTTTAATTGAGGGACTAGAGAAAAGAAGAATAACATACTGTACTCACTGCTTAACTGTGTTTCTAGATCACGCTCATTTCAGGTAAATTTACATGCAGTGTGAAGATACCAGCATAATAAAGATCGCTAGCATTAGCATGCTAACACAACAATGCACCGCGAGTTGTTTTGGTTTCATGCTGGTGCTCAAGGGCGACATCTGCTGGATCAAAAAAATCGCATATAAAGCCTTTAAGTGAAATTTTTTTTTGACCATATAAAACAAACACACCATTTTTTTCAATATTACATTTTCTCAAAAGTCTTCAGTTCAATTAAATATTGATTAAGGGTACCCTTCAAAGTTTTAGACTTCACACAAAGTCATCTAAAATATATTTATGTGAGAAACAATGGCCGCTTGTATGTTACCACATAAACGGAGCGAGGTCCTGCCGCAGCCTTGCTGTCTTTCTCGGGGTCGCACACAGACTGGTAGTCATAGGTCTTGTTGAAGGAGTACAGGGAGGTGTTGACCAGGTTGATCATCAGCACAGGGTCCACCTCTCCAAAGAACTGACCTATCTAGACAAGTTCACACAAAATGTAAACACACACACACACACACACACAAAATTATAAAAGGCTGTGTGGGCACCATTTTATCTGACATGTTTATAGTAGTAGCCATTCATGTTGGAAATTCTAATTCACATGCTTAGCCATTACGAATAGGCCCATTCAACAAAAAAATCATATTCACAGCTATCTTTATTGGCTAAGCATCTGCCCTACATTGGATCAATCAAGTTAGATCACATCACTCTGCAGTTTCTTGAGCGGCAGAACACCAGGTGGAAGAGCTATTGGGGGATTTCTCTTCTTTTAGGAGCAGATTTCACAGTAATCATTGTTAAAGGATTCTGCTAATGAATACGAAACCTGTGGGCCAGGGACAAGATTTTTGGTCTCAAATGTTTTACTTTTTGTTTGTTGTCCAAGTAGTATCATCTGCTAGTAATTCAGTCAACTTTTATTGAATGAAAAAAAAAATCGCCTGTGTGGGGAGCATGAAAAAGCATCTGTTGTAGAGCTGATTTGTTTTTGAGTTTGCTGTCATATGCGTAACAGTGTGTAACTGTTGTTCGGCTGAGACACAAAGACAAGACACAATTTAGCTTGATCCCCACAGACGCCAAATGAATCACTAGGAACAAAAAAGAAGACAGGAGGGTTCTTATGTATGACCTGTACGGCAGACACTGTGATGGTGGAATGGATTTAAGGCAGCAGATGTCCCATCCTGACTGATATGAAATGTTTCCAAATCCACTGAATATCCTACCACTGACACACGGGGGCCTATAGCAGCCTGAAAGAGTGCAGCTAATACAACAGAGCTGACTTCTTGCATACACGGGGGACTCTCTTCGATCCAGCTTCCCTGACTGTCTGAAACCCATCAGAACCTTCCCTTTGATCCTCCTCCTCCACTGGCTAGTGCTGAACTTTCCCTGAGACGTGGATGTACTGCTACAGGAGCTTTCAAACTGCTCAGAGCTAACAGGTCATTCTCATAACTTAGCTGAGTCATAGGCCCTTCACTTGACCTCTATATAAGATTAATGGGTTTCTCCAACAAAGGAAACTTGAGCTGAGGTGTGCAGAAAGGTTGAACAAAAAAGTTTAAAAAGACTAGGATTTCTGTGAATAGAAAACGTTCATTTTGTGATGGTTTATTGACTGCTGATCAATTCGTGAAAAACAACAAATCGGTGAAGCAAACATGGCGCCTGATAAAGTGAGGAGAATGGTTTCTTTGAACTCACCAGGTTGATATACTCATCCTGATTGGAAATAAGAAGGAATCCCCCATCGTCCAGTATTACACAGTCAACATGCTGCAGGGTAAAAAAAAGATATAAAATGATGTTAGCATATCAATAGTACAAAGAGATTAGAATAACTGTAGTGTGATACCTTGTCATTCCTCAGACAGCCACAGATCTCATCCTTGCACTGAAAGGAAAAGAGCATGACATATTTTTAAATCCATTAACGCATTATTTGGAGTTGTCACAACAATATATTAGTTGCAAATTTACTATACGACCAGAACTTACATTTAGCTTCAATGTAGCATTCATGAAACTGTTCATCCAAAATGACACATTGAGTTTCACTCCCACCACTACAGAGAAGAAAAATCCCCAAAAACAGGCAAAGTTACAACTTAAACAGCTATTATAGTTTATTTTATTTTAAATCACAAAGAGGAAATAAATCTGGTTTCAGCCAGACGGGACCTGCTGGTTTGAGCGTGACTTCGTTAATCGTGACCTCCACCGCTTTGCTCACTAGAATACCCGACTCAGAAACGGGCTCCCTGCTCTCTGCTGCTTTTCAGAAGAGAAGAGAAGAGAACCAATAACCAATGCAGTTTAAGTTAAAAATCCTGTTTTCAGGGTACATGGCAGTGAACATTCAGAATGTGAATCACAGTTTAATTGGGAATAATCGCTCCCCATTGGGAAATTGTTATAGAAATTCCATTCATTTTTAGCTGTTTTTCATTTATGAGAATTGAGTGGAGTCTGTGGAGCTAAGACATGTGCTAATCCAGCCAAGTGTAAGCATGGCTACATGACACTGTAGTCTGCCTGTCTTGATGTCTGTTAAAGAGATCAGTGGAGATAAGAAGTACGCAGAGAGGGAGGGTGGGGATGATTGTTGAAAGACACAGCAGGAACAAGAGAAGGATAAAGAGGGTGATATCAGAGGCCTGAAAGTGTGATCTCGGCCAGTAGTGATGGGAAGACGTCCAAAGGCATAGATCTGGATAGGATCAGTGCCAGACCACAGGGTAGTCACTCACACACACAGAAATGAGCATACAAATACACATTTTCAAACCTTTCAGCACACTTACGGTTGAAAGACGGAGCTGTGAAAATATATATCTCATTGTCTAGGGTCCTTTTGTAGAAGCTTGACTCATACGTCTCTGAATTTTCCGTCCACTCTTCCCCAGCACTGCAAACAATGATATGGTCATGGATCATTATAGACATGAAACATCAAAAAAAAAAGAAAAAGTGTTTGATCTATTTTAATCATTTATGTTTTCATCTCAAGCCAAATTCTCTTCATCGGAATCCGACCACACCCAGAGCAGGCTATATATATGTTAATGGCACGATCCAGTAAAGGGGTAAAGCTGATTTTATTTCTTCTTTTATTGTCAGAATAAAATGCATTCATCTCTAGCTTTTGATTTTACATTCTGACCTAGAGGAACCCCCCCAAGTGCTGATCAGACAAAAAAAAAGGCAAATTAAGGGAAATGCTCTGCATTTGAACGTTGGATTTGTGGAATTGGCCGATGTCCCATACTGGCCTGGCAAGCCCTGTTAGTTCAGCTCAAAGAGTCTCATCCCCTATGTTCTAGAACAAAAAAAACCCAATTGGAGCAGGTGAGAAAAGCAGGCAAATGCTATCAACCTAAGAGTTATTAAAGTCTGTATCAACTTTCATCTCACACATTTACACCACCGGATAGTTGGGCCTAAGCCTCAAAGCTAACGCCCAGACATGTAACTGAGAAAAAAGTGGGGGAGAGTACCTCTTTGGGTAGACTCTTGTGATTCCTCCATCTGTGGCTACGAACCTGGCCAGGATCCCATCCCTGACAACATGGAGAACAACAGCCAATCAAACATCAAAGTCAATCGCACATATTAGAAAAAGAAGTGTTTGTGAGCTCCTGAAGGCTGAGCTGCAGACGGGACACAAATTGGTTTATGCCCACAGTAACTTGTCTCTACGTGTCCTAATATTAAACAGATACTCTGCATTATATGTGCAAGTGTGTGTTCAAATTATTTCAGACAAGTGGGCATACTATGAAAGGAAAACGCACTGCTGTAATTATCTTGTGTTACACTTACAGTAAAAGCAGCGTGTCTTGGCAGAGCTCGACTCGGAAGGCTGGGTGTGATGTGAACTTATATATAGTGCTTATGCTTTCATCATGTTTCACTTGTCGGACACGATGGAAACATTCAGGGTAAAAAACTGGGTTTGTAATTTGCACATGACCGTCAGTAAGCATCAGCCATGGTAGTTGAAAGCATCAGTGTAGACGTGCAACACAGACACAAGAAGACTTACTTACTTACTTCTAACAAGTACAAAGTAAAAAAGAAGATTACATCTTAGCATCGCTTAAGATTGAGAGAGCAAGAAAGGCTTGGCACTCACACTGTCTGCTCATTCCAAAGTTTAACCAGTTCTGCTGTCAGCCCTGCATCCAGGATCAGTCGACTCACCATGGACACATTACCTATGGAAGTTATATTTAGTTGGTAATCATTAAGGAGATAGTCAAATGTTAACTATTTCTCTATATAACAGATTTGCAACCTGGAACACAATAGGTATGACAAGAGAGAGAGTGTGGCTATGGTCAATGGTTAAAAAAGTAGGAAGATTCATTTCTTGATTGTTGGCTTTCCCAAAAAGCACAATTGAATTCATGGAGCAATACACTTCACCCTGCATTTTTTTTTTACACTAGATATGTTTAATCAGTTAAAACAGCTTTATAAGATTTTTGATTGAAGTCAGCCCACAAAGAGGTGCGTGTTCAGCCAAATACTCTCCTTGGATACAGAGAGGGACGGGGAGTGATCTCATGGTACTTGTCAATGATATCGTCCAACGGGGAGACATGTTGAAATGTTTTTTTGTAGTTTTTTCTCTGAGGGACCATTAGACAGCCCTAGACAGCAGGAAGTTGTGAAGGATTGGCTGTGGTAGCTTTTGAAGACACAATGCTAAGGTATTCGAGTTCAAACTCAATTTTCCTAAAACGTTCTTTCTTTTGGAAAAGATCAACTTCAGCGGGCTTTTGTAATACTGCGTCCCCTTGAGTCTAGAGTGTTTTAAGTCCTGCCTGGAACTGTCCATAAAGACTGAAGGCTATGGTAAAATGAATGATGAGCACATTCTGCACAAACAGAAACAGGAAAGGCAAGTGTATGGCTTAAATATATAGCTTGACCTCAGATTAAAACGGATCAAGGATACCTTATATCCATTAGCTGGATGATGGTGGTAAGCCACATTAGAGGGGTGACGCATTAGATAATGACAAACCTGATGAGTCATTTCATACTGTGATAGCATCAGGCTTCTAGGAAACTCAGTGGGTCAGGCTGATGTCACTCTGCTAAGACCGTACTAATCGAATGACCAAAGTCATGCACTGACCTTCAGATGCAGACCATGGTGATATCAGAGTGGAACAGATCCACCATGATGACTGATGATAACACATAGCATACCCGGAAACATAAACACATATCTCCACTCTTATTAATGCACACACAGCAAAACAACACAGTGTGTGTTTGATTCAAGTGATACATGTGCATGAGTGGTATGATAATACTAACAGAAGTACAGACAGTTCAGAATACTGACATCACAACCTGTACAAATGTGCCAACACCAGCAAAAAAAACAATGCTCGACTCACATGCATTTGGAGTGTTTCTGTCAATGTACTGACTGAAGTCGAGGAGAAACTGTGTGTTGTTGGGCGACAGCTTCAGCTCTTTGCAGTACTCCCTGAAGAAACAGTATTGGTCAGACAGCATTGTTTTTTTCCTTTTCAGTTTATTGGGTTTTACTGTAGTGTCAGGATCACTCACCTTGGAGCGATGTATGTGTAACCAAACTCCTCGAACCTCTCCAGCTGTATGGTGTCCATGGCTTTTAGAATCACAAAACAACTGGTTTAAGCCAATTAATATGACACAGCAGATATGTTTCTTTAAAATGGGATCTCTATTTAGGGTCACTCACAACACCGTATGATGCGATACAATATCATACTGTACGATACGTGGCCCACAATATTGATAATATCATGATCAGAGGTGTCAAGTAACTAAGTACAAATACTTTGTTACCTTACTTAAGTAGAAATTTTGGGTATCTATACTTTACTGGAGTAATTATTTTTCAGCTGACTGTTTACTTTGACTTCTTACATTTTCCCCCAATTATCTGTACTTTCTACTCCTTACATTTTAAAAATAGCCTTGTTACTCATATTTCATTTTCATGCCTCTATTTACATTTACATTTTAATAAAGGCTATTGATAACATGCCTCTGAAGTTTGACTTTTTGCACCATTACAATACTTATAGGCAACTAGTCATCATATCTTGATATGTTGATATATTAATGCTCAGTAGTACACATATATGGTTCTTTAATGTATTTGCATTGTACTAAAATGCGTTCAGTGCACTATAGACCCCTGTGGCGCAGCCTAAGCTTTTGTCCTTAATGGCATTTTTTCCCCTTACATTACTTTTACTTTTATACTTTAAGTAGTTTTGAAACCAGTATTTTTACACTTTTACTTGAGTAAAAAGCTTGAGTTGATACTTCAACTTCTACAGAAGTCTTTTTAAACCCTAGTATCTATACTTCTACCTGAGTAATGCATGTGAATACTTTGGACACCTCTGATCATGATACAGATATAATGTGATAACTGAAATCTTGTGCAGGATCGAATCACTGTAATCAGTTTCAGTTTTTTTTCGTTTGATCATATTTCATCTTGTATCTTATTTATACAGCTTTTCTGGCATAATCCCCCGAGTCTTCTTCTTTGGCCGTTTAACTTCGTTAAACCCACTTTTATATCATAAGCGCCACCATGAGGAGAAGTGGTGCAATGAACATGGTAAGTCAAATTGCCAGGAAAAAAATATTTTGAACACTGTATTTTTACAATACGATAATTGTATCATAAGAGTCAGGATGACAATGTATTGCTGTATATGCCCCACCCCATATTTAGGGGAAATGATTTGGAATGTGCTGTGAGATGACTACACACACACACACACACACACACACACACACACACACACACACAGGCACATGAAATACTGGACAGCTATGAAGTGATGTATTAAAGTAGAGAGTGTAATTCCAGGTGCGGTAAGGCAGCATGAGAAAAGAACTGAGTGAGAAATACTTGCCTTTCTGCCCTGTTGTGACCCCAGAGATGAAGAGAGAGAGGAAAGGAGGAAAGACAAAGGGGCTGATAAAAATGCATCCATCATCCAACAAATGATGTCATACACTGGAAAATATGCAGAAAATTGTCAATATTTCACACAGTTGGTTGTAAAATATCACATGTCTCCAGGACAAAGTAAGTACGACAGAGTGTGCACTTTCTAAGAATGCAGAGAGGGAAAAAGATCAAGAAGGTGGCTAGAGGAAAGTCATGTTAATACACGGCAGTATAGAAGAATATTCTTTACCAACGACTGCTTTTGTCCTGGTCTGGAGTTAATTTAAAAACACTGTCTGATAGTCCTTATCTCATAAATGACATGACAGGCATCTAACAGCCATCATTCACTGCTCTCTTAAACCCGAAGACATTTTGGACACAGCCTTTAAAACATATTAAGTCGTGTGGAGAAGTCTGTGGAAAATATTACGGAGCCCTGGGTTTCCCCCGGGGGTCATGGAAATCTGGTGCATGATGAAACAATGTCCTTCACATAAAACATAACGGGGCGGATTCATTGTCCCTCTGTCTCCATAGACTGGCAGGGTGTCTCTTTGCCCAATTGCTGTCCACACCACACATTCCTTTTCTTATTTTTTTTTTACTCCACTGTCATCACCTTAACAACCCCAGGATTAGGTCATTCATTTCATGCATTCAGCATTCCTGCTATATGATGAAAGAATCTATATTAATCAATCACACCCTCGGCTAAGATACCCCTCTCTAATGTATTAGGAGGACAAGTGGCTGCAGGAACCACCTACTGCATGCAGGAAAGGTAAGATGAATCGAGGTATTGGTGGTCTGGCTCCACTGTGAAACTCTATACGGCTGTACAGAGAACTTAAGAGTCCCAAACTCCCTATCTGAGTTGTCTGTGGCAGCAGGGCATGCTGTGTTACTTTCTTTAACAGGCCTGTAAACGTTCTGACAGCCTCGTTATAGCAGAGAGGGAGTGATACAGGGGCCAAAACACTCAGTCAAAATCTCATCTTTTGGAACAACTGCACCATTAGCTGTTTATGCGTTGTGGCGTCACATCAGAGCTATATGGAAAAACACACTGAATCCAGATGGCTGTGTGCTGAATCCAATGTTTTTCTTTCTAATTATATACATTGATCAAAGGGGCGATTTTGCATCTGTGAACAAGATTAAGCTTTCAAACATCAAAGCATGTTCATCCATTCACCTATCTTTAAAAAAGAAAAAAATACAAACACACACAGAGGACAAAAATGTTGATACAGTAGGAAGTGAGTCACATTGCAGGAAGGACACAGAGATCAGAGAAGAGAGAGAGTACTTGCCCCAAGTTGAAGCTGTAAAAATCCAAGCAGGGAAGAAGGTAGAGAAAGAGATAAGTTGCATCAGATTCAAAATGAAAATACACCGTGTGAAGAAGTGACAGTTGCACATAAAAGGGCTGACTTTGAACGTCCTTGTGAATGTAGCTGAATGTTCTAAACTGTCAGGAGAAGCAGCCAGAGGAGCAAGCGAGACAGCCTTGAGAGCACCAACAGAGTGAAAAACAAGCTATGAGGTGAGGACAGGTTTATAGATTAGACAGAGAGACAGACAAGATAGAACAATGCAGTTTCAACTCTTTGCTTTGGTTGCCTATGATTTCATGAAGCATTTAAAGGGGGAAAAAGAAGAAGGATAGAATTGGAAAACAAAAAAAGTTAGTTTGTCAGGAGATGGGATAATGAGCAGTGAAGCAGAGGGGAGGTTTGATCTCCTCTTAAGCCAGAAGGAGGGCCAAACAAGGGGGAGTAAAAGAGGGAGAGGACAGCGAAAATGTAGACAAGATCAAAAGAGATGTGCTTGTGCTAGTATAGGTCAGAGAGGAGGAAAGCATGTGGATGAGTGTGTGTGGGAGCGGAGGGTGACTGACCAGTGGGTTACACTACAAAAGAGACGCTCCGTGGGGATCCGCTGATCTGAACAGCAAATACAAAGGAGTGGTTGTGGTCCCAGCTAGGAACTATAGCAATACAAATCAAGTGGAGATACTGGAGAGCACAACCCAAAGAAAGTATGCATGGGGACGCTGGTCGTGATGCATCAGAAAAAAAATGTAAAGCTGATTGATTTTGTTTGTTTTTTTAATGAGGGGTGTACGCTTTACTCACACATGGCTTCTCTCATGTCATCCCCCAGCTTAGCTTGAATGAAGTGTTCACTGTACTTAGGCAGAGCAAGAGCCAGGCTGCAGAAATGACAGTTACACAGGCACATTGATGATAGACGTTTTAATTGGGTGTAATTCGATCGATTCATTTTTTTCTAAGTTCCAATTTTTTAGATCATCCAAACATGCGAGTAGTTCCTGAAAATGTTCTAGGATAGGCTTCAAACCCTTAAGTTTGTTTTTTCTATCAGTAAAGAAAAGGTTAAATACTCATGTTTTCCACAAAAGGCATTCATGTTTTTACATGTTCTGTAAAATGCAAAAACATGAGCAGCTTAACACATTTCCCACTGACCAAGCAGAGCCTGGTGTCTAAACGCATGAGAGTGACCCCTGTTGGCTTAAGTGGAGTCCTCCATCAGCTGGAGTGCTCTCAGTAGGTAAGCAGTGAATCTACTTTAGTGGACACTGACAGCTTAATGATCCATTATGAAATATAACAAAAAGTGCTGAGGTGGGCTCACCTGTAATCTGTTCCATTGACCGGAGCCCACGTGTAGGTCCTGACTCCTCGATCTATGTACCTCTGCAAAAGGATGATTTACACAGGAACTGGCTTTGAAAAAATGCTATGCAATGTTCAAGTAAGGGAGGCAGATTATTAAATTGTCTCTTTTTTTTAACAATACAGAACATGAGCTTTTAAACTGTGAAAATCTGTTAAAAATAATCTTTTGTTGCTGTCCTTAAAGGCTTTATATGCGATTTTTCACACTTAAATATAATAGAAATCAAGTTTATCCTCTGAAAATAACTCTGTGAGTCATGACTGTCTACAATGGGTGTAACACCCGAGTCCCACTGTCTGTGATGTTTTCAGAGTTTTCAGAGTCCTATCTTCAGTTTGTTTACATCGCCAGGACAGACGGCCGGCTGACTCCTCCCCTCGTGTATAAAAGTTGTTTAATTGAGGGACTAGAGAAAAGAAGAATAACATACTGTATTCACTGCTTAACTGTGTTTCTAGATCACGCTCATTTCAGGTAAATTTACATGCAGTGTGAAGATACCAGCATAATAAAGATTGCTAGCATTAGCATGCTAACACAACAATGCAGCGCAAGTTGTTTTGGTTTCATGCTGGTGCTCAAGGGCGACATCTGCTGGATCAAAAAAAAAATCGCATATAAAGCCTTTAACAAAAAGGACATTAATGCAGCATTAATACAGAATATGCAGCAACAGAACAAGAAGACATTTTCATTTAAACAGATGAAAGTTCCCAAACATACTGCATTGTAATGTGTCAAGCCCTTTCCAGTATTTAACTTACCTCATCCTGTGTTTTAACCAGAGTGTCAATGGTCCGCTCGCCCGTCTCACCGTCGATCATCATTCTCCTGATCTATAGGGAGAGACAAATAAACAGATAGTAAACTGTACTTTCTGGATTTGATTAACTGAGCGATTGTTTGTGTGACTAGTAGGGCCGCACTAACTAAATCACTTGCGGAAACTGCTTTATGGTTCATGGCACCTTCCTTGACATACATATCCTCTTTGCCCCTGCCTGAATGTGTTATGTGTGCTGAGGATTTCCATGTATCTGCACACTCTACCTCCACTTTGATGTCATTCTCGAGTTCAGCATCCAAGAAGTCCAGGGTAACTGGTTCCTGGAATTTCGGATTCTGTAGAGAAGGAGTAATTGAGTTTGTAGTGAGACAGAACTGGAAAAAGAAATGCACACAAACATACTTAAACAAAGAAAAGCCCTGTACTTTAAGGTTTATTATGAGTCGTTCTGCTCAAAGTAAAGTTTATAACGCAATATCCTGCCTTCATTTCACTCTGTCTGAAGCTCGCTCAGTTGGTATAGCTAAATGTTATAAAATGCATTGGACCGTTATACAGTTGTTACCCAGAGCTAGGTCCTTTCTATGGCCATGAGCCATTGAGTGGAGTATTCCTCTGAATCTTTTGCTTGAATAATTGACTTTACATTTTTGAGCCACAATGTTCTTTTGTATTCAGTTCAAGAAGGACAGTCCTTTCCCTTAACATATGTACCCAATCAATTCCATGGTATGGAAATGGAGGGGGGGGTACCATGTGGCAGCGTTTTGACAATGCATTTGTAGCACTCGACACAGCTGAATCAGATTTGATACAAAGTGACACTGGACCCTATTAATGTCCTCTCTTAAAAACTCTATACCGCTGAGTGGCTTTATGGTGGAATAAAATGGTAGCAGTAATCTGGTGCTTCTCTATAAAACAGCAGTACATGGAATCTGATACTATTCTGTCTTCCAAAGGGTTTTTTTTCAGTAGGTGCCTCAAAATATAGGGCAATGCCATGAGGGCATATTGTATTGATACTGTTTTGTCTGCAAAGTTTCTTGTTTTTGAGTCGACACATGAAACGGTGAACGTGAAGATCAAAAAAAGAGATATGCATTTCAACTTTGAACGGAGAGTAAGAGGAATAAGATGACGCTCTTGTCACAACAAAGTTTTAATTTAAAAAAACAAGCTACTGAGAACAAGAAAAGGAATTCCTAAACCAATCAATTTCATGGCATGAATGGAAAGCCTTACATTTGATGGTTATTGAAATTAAATGGAGGAGCAGCAAACGAAGATGATAAAGATGAAGCATCTCAGCATGAAAAATGAGAAAAAAAGAAAGAATAAAAGATCAAGGGGTGGGTACAGAAAGATGCATCAAACATATTCGAGAGAGGCAGGAGAATATGAAAAAGAACAGAAATGGGAACACTGGATGGTGGGAATAGCAAAGTGAGAAGATCAAATGGAAAAAGGAAGGAAAAAGAAGAGATACAAGATTAAAAAAGGATGATAAGAGTGGGAGAATACTGGGAGTCAGCAAGAGATTTTGTTGAGGTGAGCTTGGGCGAGAGATCTAAATAAAAAAACACGACTGCAACTGGGGAGATCTGTGTGAAGCACATGAAATATGCTCAAACATAATCGAGTACAGAAAGAACCACAGCTGAGACACAGAAGGCAGACTCAAAGGGCTCAAGGTCAAGGTCAGTATTCATCCTGTCTCCGATTTGGTTGATTCAGTGACACAATGAGTGATTGACAGGCAACCCTCCAAACTGTACACACATATGCCATACATATATGGTTGACATACTGTATCAATAAATAAGGAGGAAACCAAAAGTCATGCGCAAATCTTGCTAGCTTCCCTCCTAAAACCAAACTGCAACAAGAAAATGTGCTAGTGAAAAAGAAGGTTAATGCTAAGCTAAAAATGCTAAGAACACCTGTAGAATAATTGAGCCAAAAAGTCAACAAAAACTTGTTGACAAAAAACTCAAGGAAAGTTCTTCTACATCTATTAAGCCAGTCGTGTTCTGATTTTAAATATACCTCTATTTGTATGTTTATGTGGAGTCATGGCACCTTCCTTGACCCTTGTTCTTTATACCTTTGCCTGAATGTGTGTGTGTGTGTGTGTGTGTGTGTGTGTGTGTGTGTGTGTGTGTGTGTGTGTACTGATCAGATCAGAGACAGTCATTACAAACTACAGGAGGTTGCACCACGGCTTGAGTTCTGGTGGATTCCAACAAATAGATTTGCAGATTGCGATATTTACAAAAAGTATTGACTACATACAGCTACTAAAAATGAAATCTATGGGACTAGAATTCACTCACTTCTACTTTTCTACCCTTTAGGACCACTGCTGCTGTCTACAGTATCTACTACTGTATCTCACCTCGTGGAAAGTGGCAGCAAACTTATCCCAGAGCCTGAGATTCCTGTTATGAATCCTTTTCTGAGAAATGTATGAAAACATGTAACACGGTGCAATTTGATGTGTCAAAAATTTTAAAAAAGTTCAGGACATTTTCTACTCTGATTTTTTTCTTTCTAAATAATATTGATATCAAATAACTGTATTTATCATCTACCTTTTTAAAACAAATTTAGGTGCAAAATGATTCAAAGTAAATGCCCAAGGAAAAGAGGTCCACACTTGGTCAGTTTAGACTTGTGGTTAAAGTCTTTATATGTGATTTTTCACACTTAAATGTAGAAAGTATATCCTCTGAAAATAACTCTGTGAGTCATGACTGTCTACAATGGTTGTAACACCCGAGTCCCACTGTCTGTGATGTTTTCAGAGTTTTCAGAGTCCTATCTTCAGTTTGTTTACATCGCCAGGACAGACGGCCGGCTGACTCCTCCCCTCGTGTATAAAAGTTGTTTAATTGAGGGACTAGAGAAAAGAAGAATAACATTCTGTACTCACTGCTTAACTGTGTTTCTAGATCACGCTCATTTCAGGTAAATTTACATGCAGTGTGAAGATACCAGCATAATAAAGATCACTAGCATTAGCATGCTAACACAACAATGCAGTGCAAGTTGTTTTGGTTTCATGCTGGTGCTCAAGGGCGACATCTGCTGGATCCAAAAATCGCATCTAAAGCCTTTACACTGAAATAAAATAAAGTAATTGGATAAATAACTGTTTGTGTTGATGGATTAGATGGGACAGCTGCAGATAGATGCATGTGATGCAAGTGTGCATCCCAAAGGATCCCCTGTTTCAGATTCAGAGAAGGTGCATTCTGACCATTTTGACCCTGAACATAGATCAGTCCGGGGGCAACACTTCACCACTTTGCAGCCTGTCAGAACAGGTTGTGTCTCAGGCTGGAGGTGGTGGGTTGAAACCGTTTGTGAGGTCATGGCTGAATTTTCAAAGGGCTGCATGTTGATACATATCTGCCTGGGGCTAAAAAAACGTCTTTCAGCCCTTATTTGTTGGAGAGTTGTACAACCACCCAGGGTGTTTGGTCCAACAGGACCCTTGAAGTTGCTGAATATCTCCGACATATTTCAGCTTTTAGCCTTGCTGTTGAATACTTAAACTGGAATTAAATTAAACTAAAGTGAATGAAGCTAAATGTGCAATAAAGACTACTCTAAAAAAAAACACATTCTCTATCTTACAACACCTATCCTATGCAAAGTTGATTCAAAAAACAGTTTTAGTATAAACAAATCAAGTTATATTCCGGCTAGTACTTCCACTTTAAAGTAAATGATCTCTTCTATTTGCTCTGGTGACTTATGCTTCAATCCTAAACATGCTGGATATTCCAGATCACAGCTAAGTTTACAGATCTGTTTTTCCTCACATGGTGATTGAGCCACCCTCTAGCAGACATCTAAGGGCTGATGATAAGTCATACTTTATTTAAGGAGGGAATGCTTGATCTAGTGACATGAAATAAGAGTTTTTGAAGAGCCTTTGAGTACAAGCCGTGGTAATTATGTGGAATCGTGAGAATATGATATGATGCTTCCGGGACAAGGCCCATGTTCAGGGCCACACAGTATGCCATACCTTTGGCTGGAGATTGGGATGCAGCAGGACATATCCATTGGGATCAATGGCAAAGTAGTAACCATTTGGACCAATCTGAAGCACAGATAAACAGGAAACAAGGAAATTAAATCCAAACATTATTCCAGATGATTTCACTATGACGGAAATACATCTGCTAAAAGATGTTTAAAAAGAGTGTAAGACAAATGATTCAGTTGGTCCAAAAAAACAAGAGACTAATGTACAACAAATGGGCTGTAATTAAAGCCATTTTTTTAATGATTCATTACTCATTTATTACACAAGAGGGAAACGTTGTGCAAGTTCTGGAGCTAGTCATGAGACTTGAGTGTGATAAATGTACTTGTATTATTTGTCTTTGTGATCCCATAAGGGTGATAAACTCACCGTGAAGCGTGGTGTGAGCTTCTTGATGTCGCCAAGAGAAACGTCAATTCCCATTACGCCAAGAATCAACTGATTCTGGTACTAAAAGAAAGCGTGAGAGTGTAGAGGAAAATGTATAGAGATAAAATAGTTCCATATTTCTCTACTACTGAAAAATTAGCAAATACAAATATGTCCAAGCATTCATTTCACTGCACCTCGCCATTCTTGTCGTCTCTGGTCTTTGTTTTATTGAAGACCGGAAGTGTTCCAGTGATGACCAGTCCAAGTTCCTGGCAGAGAGTCAAGCAAATGCACTATTCATTTCAAGGATTCTATTAAGACTAAACTGTGCACTGCAGGAACAATATTCATGTGATCTCTTAACGTGATCAAAATGAAAGGACACCATACAGTACCAGAGCATCGAGGTATACGTTAGTCCACTGGACTTGTTTGGCCTGCTGGTCGGCCAGAACCATCGGTCTTCCCAGGACATCCAGGTACTCCTAGAGACAAAAAAACCCCAACATATTCCCAGATTGATTCTTCAATGGAAACGAAATGCTAAGTTCTTAATGAATGTGAAAAATGATCAAACGGTTACCTGTGTGTTTATTCTGATGGCTCCAATTGAAGGAATCTCATAGAAGTAACCTGGACAAACAATCACAATGACTTAACAAAAACTCCATGCACCAATCAAACAATGAAAGTATAACCACAGGAAATATGCATAAATCATCAAACCAAAAACCAGGACTAAGTATACTGACTGCAATACTGTATTGTAGTATATTGTATTATGACTTTTTGTTACATAGTAATGTGGCATCCAGACTTTTATGGTTAAGTCTGATGAGCTTTTCCGTTGGGTTATTTATGGTAATGTTCTATAGTTGTATTTCTCCACGGGGAGATTAGAGGTTTAGTGTTTGACCATGGACATTTCAGCAGGGGCAGCGACAAGGGAGCTTTAAGGAAGCTGCGCAATCCAAATAAGAGCTTTATTATCATTCACCACTATGTCTTCTACAAATAAATCGAATACGAGGATGTGTTTTATGATGGGTGGGGTACCTTTGTTGGAACAGGCCATCCACTGAATGGGTCCTTTATCGTAGTTGTGCTGTCCTACTGAGAAGGTGAAGATCCTCACCTGGATAACAAGATGTAATTCAACATTCATTTCAAAGCTACATAGCCTCAAACAATGCCTAAAAAAGTCACTTGATAAATCTAGGGGGGGAAACTAATATGTGATTTTAAATGTATGTATCTGGTCCATTCATGATTATCTTGTGACTGATGGAATGCTAATATAAATACTTTTGATTGAAATGTACAAGATTATTCACATACACACACATGTTGAACAATTATTTCATCAATTTTCAGAATCATATGACGCTCTCATAATATAATAGTTCAGATGAACTCCAAATTCTGTCCAGTCACAGTCAGAATATGTGATGAGAACGTGTTCAACCTACTCATCTGTCAAACTTTTGCATGTGCACATTTGGGATTTTTGCTTGTGCATCCCAGTCTCTGTGAAATAAGTGTGTGTGTGTGTGTGTGTGTGTGTGTGTGTGTGTATGAGTGTGGATTGTTGTTTCTGTTTGTTTCACACAATATGCATAAAACCTCCTTTGCATAAACAGTTTGGGAAATGAGGGTATATGCACACGGAAATTGGAACCCAAAGGGAGTTCAAAAAAAGCTGAGTCTTTTGAAAAAAAAAAAAAAAATTAAATGGGAGCATATTCATGAAGATGAAAGTAAAATCATCATCACAGTGCAGTATTATACACCCGGTCTGTGTGTGTGCGCCTGTGTTTATGTGTGTGATTGATCAACATACCTTTTTGTCAGCATTGTACTTCTCCAATATGGCCTGAGCTCTTTCCTCGCCTCCGTCCGTGAACAGCATGATGATCTTATTGCAGTTTGCTCTGCTCACATTCATCTAGAGGATAGAAACACACTCTTACACAGCGTCCTGGACGATGTGATTTACTTATGACCTTTTCTACTGTCACCATTGCTGCAAAATGTAATCTATGTTCAAGCTATCTTATAAGCAAAATTCTGCTTTGAAGATGCATAATCCTTAAGGATACACTTCACCTCAAGAATTTCCCTTTCATCAGACAGGTTGGATTTATATATCTGAATATGATCTTTGTATTTAAATGAGCTAATTGTCCTGTAACTAGCTCCCCACTTTTTTTCTTGGTTAATTTGATTTAAAGAATCAAAGCAGATCAATATTAACTTGCCAATCATTGCAATTTCTAGAACGTCCTCAGACCTTTTTCTGTTAACAAAACTTAGAAAATCATAACTATATGGGGCGGCAGTAGCTCAGTCTGTAAGGACTTTTAAGGTCTGTAAGGTTGAGAATCGGAGGGTTGTCGGTTCAAGTCCCGCTGCGGACCAAATCTGGAAGTTGGTCTGGTAGCGGGAGAGGTGCCAGATCGCCTCCCGAGCTCCGCCGAGGAGCGCCTGCTGTGGGCAGCTCCATCACTCTGACATCTCTCCATTAGTGCAGGTCCATAGGATCCCGTTTGTGCATGTGTATATTTCAGCCTATGTGTGTGTTGCATGACTTACAGAGTGTAAAAACAGAAATTTCCCCTTGTGGAGATCAATAAATTAAACCTTAATCTTAATAAAGACGCATTCCTTAATTGCCTGTATTTGGATGACCAAGTTGAGACTCATTCACCTATTACTTTATGCACAAGTGTTAAAAAAAACAACAACATATTGGGATAAATCTTTTAACATTCCAGAGGATAATCTATCTGTAAAAATCTAATCATTTTTTTTATCATCTATAAAATGAGTCAAGGTAATAAATTCAGCCAGCAGATGGCACTATAAGACAAAGCTCTGTTTCTGCTGCTGCTGTTTAAAACAGGACGAGGCATCAAAGTCATGTTCACTCCAAAACTTTCAAACCTCATCTGCTCTTTAGTGACACTCAAGTGAGATACATGACATGTTTTGTTTGAACACAAGCAGCACACTACTATATCTCACCACAGACAGCTGCTCGAAAGCAAACTCGAAGCCTTTGGTGTAGTTGGTGATTCCCTTCGCCGTGATGTTCTGCACGGCGTCCTTCAGCAGCTTCTTGTTCCTCACGTTGGCCTGCACCAGGTGTTCGAAACACGCCGTTTTCTTCACCCTGGTATTAAACTGTTGAAGACAAGAGGTGAGGAGTTACAACCTGGCAAATTATTTATGATTACAACATGTGTGCATATTTAACACACATTAAAAATGCAGCACATACACACACACACACACACACACACACACACACACAGTCTCGCACAAAAAAATCACTCCCACCTGGCTCCGGCTGTTATCAAGCGGTGGTAAACAGACACATTCATCAAGCCCCACTAATTGCTTCATGTCCTCGGAGCTCAACGATTTGGTACCCATGGAAACAAGATTCTGCTATATAAAAGCGATGCTAGGCAGCAACACTGCCTGTTTTTGAAAAGGTGAGAAACTCCTCAGTTCCACCCAACATCACACACATGTAAACACACTCCACCCAAAGGCGTGTCCCAGACTTGACTAAACTCTGCCTGGTGTGACGGATGGTGTATCATTTCATTGGTCAATATCTAAATAAAAAGCAACAGAAATGACTGATTTAAAGAGCAATAACACTAAGTAGAAACAACAGGAAAGGCTGCATATAATAGACTATATAAGTGTGGATAATGAAGGACATGGTACAGCAGAATAGTAAACCAGCAAATCTATTGTGTTGCAGAAGACTTCTAAAACAATACTGCACCTCATCGATCTCAACTAATCATGGTGTATCTATGAGATGGCCAATAGGGACGTAGATAACTCTGAACGACACAGACAAGCAGGACTAAAAGAGCTCTGACCGTGTGTGTGTGTGTGTGTGTGTGTGTGTGTGTGTGTGTGTGTGTGTGTGTGTGTGTGTGTATGTGTGTGTGTGTGTGTGGGGGTAAGTGTTTGAAATGAGCCTCAAAGTTCATTTTAGATTACATACAGCATCTTCTTGAGGGAAATTAACTTTTACCTTTTGGGCATTTTAGAAACCTGATTTTAAGCCTCCTAACCTCCGTTTGTAACTGTTTTTTACATAAGTGTGTTTAGAGGCGACCGTGCCTTCTCAGTGGCTGGCCCCCGTCTGTGGAATCAAACTGCCTCCCTCCATCAGACAAATCAACAAATTCATTCAAATCAAAACTCAAAACTCACCTTTTTTCCCTGGCATTTAAAACAAGTTGACACAGACCCCATATCTTTAGCTTCGGTATGTATCAGTATGTATGCATGTGCATGTAGGTATGAGGGTATGTATGTGTTTGTGATATGTATGTAGGCTGCATGTATATATGTATATGCATATATATATGTTTGTGTGTGTGTATTATGTGTATATATGTACGTGTATGTACATGTGTATATGTATATATATATATATATATATATATATATATGTGTATGTGCGTATGTATAGATTAATTTTTTATTTCTTGCTTTTATGCATTGCCTGTAAAGCACTTTGGTCAGATGAAGCTGTTTTTAAATGTGCTATAGAAATAAACTTGATTTGATTTATTGCAGTTTTGTACTCACTTAATTATCTTCGTACATTTTAGACTTTTTTAGACTGATTTTAGCAGTCTTGTATTTATCCGTCCCCTGTTTTTCTTTTTGATTTAATGTCTGTTTTCTAATTATTTCTGTAATTACTCGATGTCATTGTAAATCAGGGTTTGCCCTCTCAATGATCTTTCGAGTATAAATAAAGGTTGAATGAAGTTTGACAGTAACAGAAGTGCACATCTACTTTGGAATAAAGGCAAAAAAAAGACTCCTTTGCGGTTAAAAACTCTCAAACAAAAAGGAAACACACAAGCTCTTACAGGCACACACACACACACACACAAGCTTGTGGAAGCTTCTAATTGCAGCCATATGTGGAGGGGGATCTTTTTATCTCATGATCTATTAAAAGGAGAAGTGAGGAAGGTGAGAGGGGAACGTGGGAAGGTGAGGAGCAGAAAGTGACAAGAAGAGGACAGAAAGAGAAAGAGGAGGGGGAAGGTGTGAATACTGAATTCAAGGCAGGAGTATTAAAGGATCCGATTCAGAGACAAGAATAAACTGAAGTATAAATGACAGAATATAGAATATACTTGGATTAAACGATAGATAACCCTTTTATGTCATGGGTGGAATAAAAATTAAAAAATGGTGTTTTTAGAATGAACACATTCTTGCTTTGTTAGATGGCGGTCCTGGCCTTGCACACACGTGTGAATACATCGACAGCAAATCCCACTGTTCCACTTGTGATCCCATTACAGCAGCTTTTGTCATTGTGCGTGTGTACGTGCGTGCGTGTGTTTGTGTGTGTGTTTGTGTGTGTGACGGTCCAGGCCCCGGGAATGGATTAGTGATGACACAAGAGAGAAGGCTAATCTTTGAGCCCTAATCCCGCTGGACTTGTCTGCTATGCTCTGCGTTGGTATACTCTGGCTTGCCCGCTGGACTGATGCAGGCTAACAGCACTGACACCCGCTAACACAGCTGAACGGGTCGGATGAAAGTAACGGGCGGCTCTGTGAGGTATAGGGAGTGAGGGAGTGAAGGGAAAGAGGGAACACAAGTGAGGGAAAAAAAGGATGAGGACAGAGAAGGGGGAAAAAATGAAGCAGAAAAGGAAGAGCCATAAGCATTTTCCTGACCCAACACAGTTTGGTGGGGAAGTGTGTGAGCATCTTCTATGACCAAATGGCAACTCAGTCCCTGGACTACTGGTTAATGAGGAGGGATTTATGGGCAATATCAGAGATGAATGATTTAGTGTCAGGTTACAACACCCTCAGGGCCAGACACAGGGCACTGTGCGTGTGTGTGGATGTGGGAGGAGGTGAGTTGATGACATGAAGAGAGGGTGATGGTGAACCAGTATAACTGCAAATGTCACAACATTATTAGATGTAGCAAGAGACGTGAGCACTGGATGTAAACAACAACCCCCCCCCCAGGAGAACCGATGGACTGTCGATATAAGAAACAAACTTTGGTTTTAAAGTGAAGCCAATGTGAAAGTGCCGTTCAATTTTTCCCCTTCCAGCAGCGGGCGACCTTACTGGTTTTGAACCGGGGGCGCTAACCTCTGGTGTTGAAAGCTGAAAGCCTAAAACAGAACAGCCCCAAGGAAGTGGCAAAAAAAAAACTGCAGTTCATCGAGTGTCCACCGGTTCAAAAATGGTTACGGTCTCTGTAGCTCACTTCTTTTTTTCAGTACAAACTGTTTTTAGTGTGTCTTCATTTGTTTAGGTTGGAATAGTTTAGCTGGCTGCCACAAATGATCATACTATGCAGCTTCCATGCCCATTCCCCAGCAGTGATGGGTGGCCGCTCGCTGTGAGTCTGTTTTCGATAGAGTGTACGCTGCAGGCACGTACCAAGCTGGATAGGATATAACAAACCTGACAGGAAGTCAGACAAGGAAACACACAAAGCCTCCGGTCAATATTTACCTATTTTCCACAAAGCCACATGTTGTTCTCTTTATTAAACCGTTTAGCTGGTGATGTGGAAATTGGGGGTAAGTTAATCACAGTATTGTTGTGAGTACAACAGATTAAAATAGTCCGATCTATCGCCTCGTAGCCCCCCACTGCCTGACCACAGCACTTTAGGTTTAAAGAGTAGAAGAAAAAAAGTTACATGTCAGGACTAAGTTCAACTTTTTAAAACCAACCTCTATCACTGTCGCTTTCCTGACACATTCCAATAATTGCAGCTCTTCTGTGAATCTCAAGTCCACAATGAAATAGAATACATTGTGTCCAAGACAAAAGGTTCCCCGGAGAGAGAGAGGAAACCGAGCCTGAATCGCTGTCTTTGTGCAAAGGAAAGCGAAGACAGCTCCAATCCCTATAAAGACCCATCTCAATAAACACCTCCACAGGCGCCCATCTAGGCATCACACAGACTACTGATTGGCTCTTTCTGAGTGTAATCGCAAGCATGGAGGTGCCTAGAATAGATCAGGTCAGAGAATGAAAACGGTGGAAGGGGAGAGCGATAGAAGTGATTGGTGGGGGAGAAAAGTCAAAACGAAAGGAGGAGAGAAGGCAGAGGCAGTGAGAGGAGGAAAAGTTGTCCGTAGAGGTGTATTGTATATAGTGGGAGGAGAGGCGTGCAATGTACAGAGAGATCATGCTCTGACACAGAGAGATGAATGGAGGTCTATGGTGAGATGAATTGCAGGACTCAATGATGAAAGGAAAGAGTGATGGAGAGATCAAGAGGGTGATGGATGAGTGTTTCCTGTGGGTTCCTTCTAGTCAGAGGTGCAGCTTTAATTCCTTTAGGAGCAGTGGGAGTGCACACACACACACACACACACACACAAACACACAATTGGGTAACGAGATGGGGCGGCGGGGGGGGGGGGGCATGTAGTGCAGAGTTTTAATCCTGTACACCAAATAGAGCAAGTGGGTATTTCATTAAAGGTCTGTTTCAGGGTGGCCAGACCTGAGAGAAATCCATATTTCATTACGTGTCATCCATCACTCTGCCTTTCCTGTGTGGACATGTGTTTGAGCATGGGCTGTGTGTGTGTGTGTGTGTGTGTGTGTGTGTGTGTGTGTGTGTGTGTGTGTGTGTGTGTGTGGGCTACGTGCACAAATTATCAAAGTGCCCACGTGCGCCTGTGTCCATAATTTTCATTCACATATCTACCTAAAAAAAAAAACATGAATGGGCGTCTAATAGCATCAGCCCCATTCATGCACACAATTTAATGGTATCCTTAATTGTGGACCTTTTTCCCAGCATGCACCATACCCCATTGCCTCGCACAAACGGAGACAACCCAATTACTCAGCGAGCAACAGTTTAATAACACTCACATAAACCACGTTGACATAGTCGTCATCAGACAGAGTTTCCAGCATCTCGCTGACAGATGTCTTGATCAGTTTGAGAGTCAAGCCAGACACGCTCCCGCTTCTGCAAATAAACACAGACACACACAAAGAATCATTATATAAACAAATATTCAAGAGCTTCTCACTGCAATCGGTTGGCTGAATTCTTGTCGTCCCCATGAGGTTTAACACGACGTAATTAGAAATGCCTCCGCCCTGGGAAATACATTACATTTTGTGGCAAGTCTAAGGAAGGCATATATTATAATCAGGGGAAATCACGGCTGATATGAGAAGGTTACACATCAATGAGGCTATCAATTGACTCACGCATCCACGAGGATTAGAATGTCTTTGGGTGAGGAGGCTCCTTGAATGTACCTACAAGGACATAAATGGATAAAAGACAAGCTGGTCTGAGACAAAACAAACCTCTCCAAACAGCAATTAGAAATATATGTTGAAAAACTGACACTTTATTAATCACAACAACACTTACAACAAGGCTGCTTAATAGTGTTAACAAATGTATTTAAAAAGAGCTTCTTGTTTGATTTTCAGTCATTCACTCAGATTTGTTTTTAATTAAACCACAAAATGATGCATTTAAATGACACATGCAACATTATCACTTTGCAATTCCCATAAAAAAATTATATCATCCAGTCAGCTGACTCACTTCACTCTCTTAAACCATTTCTTTAACACATGCTTTCATCAATGTAACCAAACAAGCGGCCGCATTTAAAATAAAAAAAATCACATACACACAATCATTTACAAATATTTAAATGTTCACTGTCCAAAGTAAATTTTGTAGAACATTCCTGTTTAAAGAAAACTCCCTTTTGCACTATTTAAGACGATTTTTAGGTGACTCTTGTAGATTTTCTCACCATGGCCTCCTGCGGACGTCATACAAGTCGATTTTACTGGGCGTCTTTCGAGCATCCATCCAGGGAGAGGCTGTAGAAGGAGAATAAATACATTTAAAAAGGTAACTCAAGCAGATTAGATGCTTGTCTGTATTTTTATATTGTTGTCTGACAACCCTTAGTGCCAGATGAAGGTGTTGACTGATAAATATTTGGCAACATGTCGTGTTAAATTCAGCCCACCAGTGTCTTGTTGCTGTCAATCATGTTGTGTAAATTAAGGACACATAGTGGGTTCAAGAAAAACTTTCATTCGTGCCACAATGACAGTTTGGATGGGTAGAAACCTACTTTTTTGTCCCACTAAACCATTCAAACATGTTTTATGTTTAGTGAAAGTATTCATGAAGAGGTAAACAACTGGGATATAAAGTCATCTGGGTCCAATAATCATCTGCTTTGTGTGTGTGTGTGTGTGTGTGTGTGTGTGTGTGTGTGTGCTTTAAGTTTGAGGGCACCATGAAAACATCACGCCGGCATGAGAGAGTGTGATTGCAATTCATGCAAGCTAAGAGGTTAAACAAAAGGGCCAAAGAGGAATAAATTCATGGGCAGATGAAAACTCATGAATATTAGACATAAACTTTTCCCATAAAGCTATACAGAGTCTATGATGACAGGCAATCTCATGAATAGAAATAGCTTGGCAGAGAAAACACTTGAGCTGGAGGGCAGCCACAGACTGATGCAGTTAAAAGATTGTATGACTCAATCAATGGCCCCATATTAAATCAATGCATTATAAGTAATAACGATGATTTTTTAAGCTTATTTGATCAGTCGTGTGTTGAACAATTCAAATTTAGGAATATATTGCCCAGCTGATTATGGTTTGGATTAAAAGACACATGTATCTAAGGTCAGTCAGAGATTAATGGGCTGATTATTGTGCCTCTGAACGGTAAGAAAGATGACAGATACAGACACTGCTACAGTCTGCTGTACACAGATACACAAACCATTTAGTACAAATACTCCTCTTTTTTTTTTTTACCTGGGTAGTAGCGTGCCAGGCCTGTAGCGCTACCAAACACCTGCCAGAGGAGCGTGGGGTCATCCTCTCTGTTCTTTCGAAACACGTCCTCCAAAGCCTCGGTCCAGTTCAGCTCATTCAGCACAATGGTGGCTAGAAATCCACAGATAGAAAAGCACACAAATACATGTCTAAAAAAAATGACAAATGCACTTTCCAAAAAAATTACTTGTCATTATTGTAAGTAGATCTTCATTGTCCACAAATCTGCACATATGCTTGATTTTTTTGTGCATGGAGCATGGGGGGGTCCAGGTAATCAGGCAAAGACATCCCATATTAAAACATGCATTAAGATTCACACGCACACAGGCCTGCTCGGTGTCAGCCCACCTGCCCAGCTGGACACAGGAGCAAATATTAGGCAAGCAAACCCAGCCAGGGCTGTCTTCTGAGGACAGTTTTCTGGTGAGTTAAAGGCTTCCACATACAGAAATTAAAGTGTTTAATTCCCCCCTTAAACACTAGATAACCTATGTGTATGTATGTGTGCATGTATGTGATTGATGTCCTGTGCTGTGAGAGGCAACAGGCATTATGGATGTAATGACACAGCACCCAGACAGCTCAGAGGCACATAACACTCACTATGATGGATGGAGACCAAACCCATGCTGCCCCAACTCTTCGCTGTCTGTCGCTCTGCTGCTCTTCTTTTTTTTTCTTCTTCTTCTTCTTCCTCCCTTTTGTTCTTGTACTAATGTCGTGCTGCACATATGCTGCTCTGTGACTCCGTGTGTGTTTGTGTGCACGTGCAGGAGTGCATGTGTGTGAGATAGATTGGTACCCTGTATTGAGTGTGACGTGGCTCATTGATGTGCAAAGCAAACACTGTTCATTTGCATGCATGCCTCTAGAGGGGGCGAGTTAATGAAGCCTTGGTTGCCAGGAGTGCATGTTTTTTTATCATAGAGAGAGGAAGAGAGAGAGAGGGAGGGGGGGAGAGAGAGAGAACGCATGCAGGGTGTGTGCACAGTAATGTATTTCCCTCATTAAGTGTAGAATTTTAAAGCAAGATGAAGGCTAAATAACACCAAACCCTTGGTTAGATAATGAGAAAATTACAAACGGCATGTGTTATTTAGTGAATCCTTACGAGGATAGGTGGTAAAATATTTACTACTCAGAGCAATTTAGACAGCTATTTACAGTTTATATACACATTCACTATATGCTGAAAGACTAATATACAGTGCAAAACAAGCAAACCTAAAGCATCCAACCCAGGAGTCAAATGCAGCCTTTTAATCTTTCTATTGGTTTAAAGGATTCTTGTGTTAGCCATAATATCTAATAAGGTAAATTCCTCTGCTGCTTCATACGGGATACAGTATCCTCCACTCTTCCATATTGCCACTGACACTAATGAATTCCCCGGCTGCACTCGGCTTGGCTTTGATGCCAAACTGAATCTGCACCCTGTGAAGACTTCATCCATGTAGGCTATTAGGAGCTCAATATACAAGTCAATAACAAATAGAGTATGAATTAACAATAAAGAGAAATATGTCAACCTAAAATCACCTTATACCTTGTGTCCAAAACAAATGCTAGTTTAACTACAGACAAAAAAAAAAATGTTTTAAACAGAAATGATAGACACACTAACCGAGACTAAGGCATACCCGAGATCAGAGTGTTCCAAGACCGAGACACCACCAAGACATTTAGTGATCGAGATCAATGAGTCAAACCCAAGACCAAGGCAGGCAGAGACAGAGACAAGACCAAAACCATGAACACCACTGATCGCCCGTCAATTTTTTTTTCTCATGCAAAGCCATTCATTTATTGTATCAGAATGTTATGTATGCTACAAGAGGTAACCATACTCAGGCCCGGTTAGTCCTGGAGCAGTGTGAGTGCAGGCGGGCCAGCGAGGGAATGGGGAGGGGGGGGGACAATCGTGATTCAGCATAATACGGGACAACTTTGCCTTGTGTCAGTGCGCCCTTAGACTGAAACACCGGGAAGTTTGCTGCCATAACCAGGGGAATAGAAACCAAACTACAAATGAATTCAAGTTATGCGTTATTTTAGTAAATAGACATTTTCCTTCTTCACAGTAATGAAGTTAAATAATAGCCCATCAGTGGCAGACTGAGACAAGGCCAAATGAAAATACTTTCAATTCCGAGACAAGACCTTGTGGCTTTGAGACCAAGACCAATTTTGAGTACTACAACACTCGAGTTTTAACAACTGATGTCTGAAGGAGAAAAAAAGACAAGTTTGAAAATACCATCGCTCACTTTAACTGTCAAGAGCCTCATGAGATGATTATGTCTTTATGCAAAACTAGAGCCATTAGTGTAGGTAAACTGAAAGCAGGAAGGAAACAGGTTGCCTGGATCTGCCCAAATGAAACAAAATGCACTTGACAGCACCTCACAAGCACATAATTAATCTTGTTTGTTTAATCCATACAAGATGGGAAAGTCACAGTGGGAAACACGAGCGGGGAGGAGCCTGGGCGGGTTTTTAGAACACACACATCATATACACATGCAATGATGGGGTTGCCGTTTATAAAATGGTATATTTGACTTATAAAACAGAAACTATTGGGGGGGGATATGATACTTTATCAGCCTGAAGAAAACACTGTGGTATTCTGTCTGTGCACTTGAAAAACTGGGGTTCTTCTCACATTACCGGGCTGGACTTATCTGTCATTAACCATTCAAAACTCTGTCTGTCTCTGTTGATGTCCTTAGTGTTGTTGTCTTTCTGTTTGCTTGTCTTGTTCCCTTCTTCTAGAGGAGAAAAAAAAACTGCTGGCAAGCTTGATATTCTTGCAGATCAAGCGCATCATACACGGTCTTCAAAATGATTTATTTAACCGTCTCCAGCCCAGGGTGTCATAGATATTGTATACATAAATTTTCCAGCTTCTGTATCCAAAAGCAACACCACTGTAGCCAAGCATTATCTTATCCGTCTGTCTCTCTGTGTATCTCTCCTTCTATCTGCCACACCATGTCCCTTCATTAGACCAACAGATGTTGCTTTTTGTTATCTTTACTGTCATCCAAACGTCTTGTTTCCTACCCCTGCTCTCGTCTCTCTCTCACACACACACAAGATGTTGCCACTGCCTACAGAAGGTGATTTCATAAACTTGTCTCCCACTTTACCCAGAAAAATCCAATTTTCTCCAGCTGAGCAAAGGCTATTCCTGGAGCATTTATGGGGTGGAGATCAAATTGAAGCGCTGAACCTCAATAACATATGAATACTCTGTCTCTTTGGGGTTTTTTTTCCCCCTGTGACGTGCCAGATATATGCTACTGCACGTGCCCCCCACTACATGACACAGTGTTTGGCTGTATGTGCAAACCAGAGACAAAGATGTGTTTCTTCCATCTACACACGTCAAGTCAAATCTTAACCCTCAGCCTTGCTTGTTTTTAACCTTGTCCTTAGTTCAAAATAAACTTGTCTGGACTGGCTTAATATTCCCACTATTTAAGCATGCTACTAGCATTGGGTCCTCTTCACACACCTTCAAACACACCTACCGTTTCTTACATCTCACTCAGATCAAACTTGATGCCTGGATAGGTCCCAGCAGCTCATCCTATCAATGCATACTCATTACAGGCTCCCTATACAGCATCCTTGAAAGAAAAGGGAGTGTGAGGAGTCATGGCATCTGGCCCAGATTAAGGCCAAAGTGGTGTCTTGGGGGAAAAAAATTACACATCAAGTTCAAAAAGGCATGCTAATTAAAAGCTGGCCTGCACTTTTACAGATAACAATCACTGACACCAATGTGTGCCCATCACAATCCCTCACTCTTGTTTATGGGTCAGCACCGAGGTGAAATGTGTAACCTTGTGGCCAGACGGTGCACCAGAAGGCTGGATAGCCATGCTGAGGAAATCACTCTGATTCTGCTGTCCCTCAAAGTCATTGCTGACGCATCGCCTCCCACTGCACGATAATTACAGACACAAAAATATACACAGTCTCACATGGTTACAGATAAAAATACACAACAAGCCGAGCAGGAAGTGCAACCTAGTGGTATGAGAAACTATCCAAGACTTGTAGTTTAACTCATCATGAGCAATATGTCCTGCTGAAGTACCTTTAAGATGACCACTAAAAAAAACTTTTATTGCTCGTCACACAATGATGAGAGCATCACCCAAGTGCTTAAAATGTAAAAATAGCTTAAAAAAGGAAGTTGTTAAAATGCATAATTCAGACCACAGTAAAGGTATTCAACAGACATTCCCTCAGTCATTGACATTCAGCTTGAGCTCTGCTAATGTCAGAGGGACTTTCAAGAATCAAATTATTCCAAAGTGTTGGAGGTAAATGTCAGCCCACCATGAGGAAATGTTTAAAAAAAGGTACTTCTGTAACAAACAGAGCAAACATATGTGATTCATCATAATCTTTGTGGTATGAAGTCCAAATGCGGATTACAACACAAACATGCAGTTATATTCTGCATGAAAAAGTGACTGCAGACTCTGTGGCGTGTGACCTGGTTTTTGGTTTCTGAACTGTTCTGGTTGTTGTTTGTTGTGCAATTGTTTACTTGCATTTCTGAAGGCTTTGATCAATGGAGGAAGGAAAACAATCCATGCAGAGTCAAAGATGTGAAACACAGTCTGCCGTTATAAAACACGGGACCCGTCGGCTGTTATATAACGACTAATCAGCTTTAATTAATGTCAATTAACAGATAATAAGTGCAGCTTACGGCCCGCTCTTAGACGTCTTCTCTAAACCCTCTAAACGTTTTCTAAGGTTGCTTGTCAGATGTTAAACAATCTGCAAACCCTTTGGAAATCAAGTTTTGGACCTCGGTCCCTCAAATGCTAACCGATGTGTACATCATCATCAACTTTTATTTAAGTTCTCGGAGAGATCATTTGAGGGCGACCCTCATTTACAATGATGCAGAGAAAACATATATAAATGATAAACAACGAGAAATGAGATTCAATTTATTTCTATATGGGTAACCAATCTTTTTTTAACGTAATTTGACAGTAAGATTATCAATGTGAAGTTTGAATGTTAGTCTGTCATCTATCCATATACCGAGATATTTACAGTCTTTAACTCTCTCGATAATGGATCCTAGCTGGGTGGTAATGTGAAGGTTATTATCAGTTTCACATTTAGCCCTAGAAAACAACATACATTTAGTTTTCTGAACATTTCAAACCAATTTAATATTGTTAACTGCAACTTGGAGAACATTAAAGGAATGTTGCAGGTTCTCCATGGCAAGCTGAGCAGAATTAGCAATACAGTACAATATTGTATCATCTGCATATAAGTGAGCATGTGAATGGTCGCTAGATAATAATGGAATAATTTTATTGATAAAAAAGAGCTGAGAAGCCTTGAAAGTTTTCTGTCACAACCGGAGGCTGTCTCAAACAATAGATGATGGCTTCTGAGAACAGAAAAGGGCCAATAAAGTAAGTTAGGTATATTTAACAATGATATCCCTGTTTCTTAATTATATGTATCCTTTTGGGGAGAATGATGAATATACTTATTTAACAGTATAAAATCTACAGCTTGTCTTTGCCTCACACTTCATCACACTTTCTAAGTCCATCTGGTCACGGCAGATTGAAGTTCACTATTAAATCTGCTTCTGCTCAATAAATGAAAGTTTTTTTTTCTTTTCTAGTCAACACTGCCAAATACTGGCTCACTGGTAGATTACTGTTGGGGCTGTGTAAATAATGTGACACAAAGTAGAGTTTAGACCTCCTTGGTGTATTGTAGTGTAGTGGAAGCTTCACATGATGACGATACGAAGAAAAGAGCAAGCTGCACAGTCATCTGCACGTTGTCTCCACTTCATGACATCAAGCTAGCAACCCACAGCATTGCATTTTGCATTTCCTGTGACTTTCAAAATAAAAGCACTTCCTGTCAAATCATTAACATTGACAATGCTTCACACCTTTTAGTTGAAATAATGTAAATGGTATGTTTTTACATCTCATTATGCTCTTATGTGTAAAGTTTAACACTGCATTCTGTTACCTTTAACTATTCACAACATATATTAAGTGTCATGAGAAAGCTTCTGTTATTGAGAGGCTCAATAAATAAATCAAAATATACTGAGGGCGCACTCACACACTAGGCAATCTGTACCATCCCTAAGCACCCTTCACCCCTTAAGTCCAGTTGGTTTGACTGTCTGAGTACTCCAATCCCTGCTCAAACACGGTACATTTCCTTAAACGGTTAAACAACGTGGACAACCTTTATCATGAAAAAATCCAGGAGTGTTATGGCTGTATTTGACTGCAATGACTAAATGTAAACCACACAGTCAGTAAAGTAGCTGTTATGGTCTCCGGGTTCTGGACTCGACCGCACAGCCCTTTTTAATTTTTTTGATTTTTGAATTTTCGAGGTCCACCAGTCCAAACTAAGCAAGCTTCATAAGTACCTAAAAGAGAGTAGGGAATGACATGCAGGAAAGAAGCCACAGGTCAGATTCGAACCTGCAGGGCCGCCCACTTGGAGGACTGCAGCCTCCATACATAGGGGCGCACGCTCTAACCACTGCACCACCAGCGCCTCACCCTGGTTTGATTATAGAATATATAATTCTAACTTATTTTGGAAGATGTAGAAAATCGAGTTGATAAAAAATTATAAAAATTATATTATTCAATTATATTACTAAAACTTTATTTATCGTTCAACCTTGGCGAGACAAAAATCCAAGCCTCAAAACATGAACAGACGATTGAATATACTTTTCATCAACATCCTCTTTTCAAAACAAAAGGAAATACAAATGAAATGAAGGGATTCAGGTTTGATGGTTTTCTCAGACAAAAGGCTTAAAGCACACGTCTATTTATTTCAGTTAGAGGCTCCTTTGTTCACTCACATCCCAAGGACTCAGTGCACACTCAGGCAGACAGTACACGAGAGGATCCCATTATGCTTTATCACTGTTTTTCAAACCATCCTTTAGCCATGGGCAAATTTGCTGGAGGCACAATTTGTATACAACATTTCATAATGGGTTTGGTATGTCAGTTGTATCCATGGTAACCACTCAGCTTTGTGTGTGTACATGTGTGTGTGTGTGTGTGTGTGTGTGTGTACTCACAGCCATCATATATGTCAGTGGGGATGTGGACGGCCGTGTGGTTGTGGTCGGTCAGTCGTCTAAATAATGAGTCCTCTTTAAAGTCTGGTCGGATCCTGTATTTTCTCCCCTCTGTCTCATTTGCATCCAGCTGAGGGCGGGAAAAAAAAAAAAAATCAAGATGCAGACTGTGATGCTGACCGTGGGTTTAGGATATCATTCAAAGCCTCTTTTATTCTATTTGCTGAAGCATCATTTCATGCCTGAAAACAGCTTGTGGGTTTAGATAAAAGCACAGGACATTAAAAGACAGTCTGACTATATGTCCTCATCTACTCCAGTCTGATGAGATAATGTCATCGCTGCACTTTTCACAACCTCCCAGCTCGTTTAGGAAAACACAGCATCCCCGAATCTACTTAACGATATCTTCCTTTTCTTTTTTTTTCTCTCCAGCTTATCAGTTTCTCTTGGGAAGAGTCGCAGCAGACAGCCAGATTGTCTATGCCCCTCGCGGAGATTTATTACTCATGCATTCGGCAATCTACATCAATGAGAGCAGCACAGGCATGGGGAGATATATGAAGAAAATGCACGATGAGAAATGAAGGAAAGTATGCAAGGTGGAGAGGCAGTGAGGTGGAGAGAGATAGAGGAGGAGGGAGGGAGGGAGAGAGTGTGCGATCAGTTGCTTTCCTAATAAAGCAACAGTGTAGCCAGCTCATACATCTCATCTGTCAATTAGAGGAGAAACATGGCAGAAACCTCTTCACCTGCGAGAGTGGAGGGGGGGGGATGACGGAGAGGAAGATGCTGTGAAAGAAAAGCCTTGAGAAGAGGCAAAATAGGGAGGCAGTGCAAGGAAAAAAAAAAGGTTGAAGCAATGATAGAAAATCTGGGTAGAGAGAAAAAAAAGATGAGAATGTGGTGAATAGGAGATGGAAAGTAGAGGAGGTGAAAGGGAGGACAAGAGAGAGAGAGAGAGGATGCCTTATAGGAAAAATTATTATTACTTGCCTGTGTCTGAGTGTGACCTGTCTGTTTGCGGGGGCTAAGACGGAAAGAGAGCTAAGAGACGGAAGAGGAAAACAAGGATAACTTACGTTGTCTTTGGCGTTGTAGTAGCCGATTTCATCATCCTGCAAACACAGAAGCGCAAAACGTGACTGTGGCTGCAATGAAGTTTTATCACAAACATTTTATCACAAACTTGCTTGATCCATTTCTGAACTATCCTTTATTCTGCTGGCGGACAACTCCATTAGTTAATTGCCCTTGTTTTATGCTAATGAAGAGACCGGTCCTTTGCTACCAACATACTGTGTAAGTTGAGCGCGCAGAGTGTTTTTCTCTCTCGTCGCATCTGTGTCTGTACGCCTAGAGCCGTTTGCAATGCCCCAGGGGGAAGCATTTTAAAAGCCATTGAGAAAGCAACACACAGCTTAGACACATTTGTATTATTTGTGACACATTTTTGTCATGTCCAAGGCTTTACTCTGTGTTTTAATAAGTGTCTGCTAGTGCAGCACTTGGAAGGCAGAGTGTGTGTCACCTAATATGAGAAGCACAATGCATCATTACACAGTGTTTAACGCGCATAAACTTATTTGGTAATGGAGCTGTAATCACTGCTAATGATAACACACAGGCACAAACAGATGAAGCCCTATTCAGACAATAACATGAATTTATGGTCAGTAAACTCGTTTTTTTTAATGGATGACCACTGATGCATGAGACTTGTGTCTCCCTGTGTTTTACCAGCTTAAATACCCACAGATGTCATTTTTATGTGCTTAAGCGATGTTTCAAAAGCGTGGGTCTGCATTTTGCGTCCCTTTGTTACCTCAAACTCGTCTCTCCACTGATGCTCCATCTGGAAGTTCTCAGCAGCTGTGGCCAGTTTCTGTGAGAGTGAAATATGACAGGGATTTAGATTGGAAACTGCACAAGGTATGCCTCCTTCCCCAGCGTCGGTTTAATTATAGAGAACTCGAAGGGAAAGAGAGTATGCTTCAAAACGCACAAAGGAGACCATCCCAGAAGTGATTATGATCCCAGTCTCACGGCTTATATTATACCACAGAGCCGACATGGTTTACAGCACTGTCCGCTAAAGGCCACACGGTAGAGAGTCATAATGTCAGAATGAAAAGGTTGTACAGCAGAAGAGCAGCGTGTATGTGTGTGTCAGAGTGAGTGTGTGTGTGTGTGTGTGAGTGTGAAAGACAGAGATATGAAAAGAAAAAAAGGGGTCACTCAGTAACAGAAATGGAAGATCTCTCAGTAAAGTCAAGTGCAAATGAATTACAAGCTGAGAGGTTGTCAATCAAAGTGACACGTCTACATAACACGGGACAAAATTAACCTCACCTTTGCTCTGAAAATCTTTCTAACATGCATACATGCTCTATCTGATAAACAAAACTGAAAGAGAGAACGGCACCACAAATAATTTAAAATAGAATAAAATGTATTCCGCAGTACAAGTGATGAAAAGAACAAGCTGCAATATAAACAGTTCATATTTATCACTTTGGGAACAAATGAGTGTTTTATCTTCTCTGCAAACATCCAGGAAAATATTTTTATGTTTAACTGAAACAGCCAGCGCTTTAAGATTGCACTAAAAACTGGGTGAGAATGCCGTGATATTTAGACATCATTATAAGACAGTGCTTTTCCAATTGAACAATGTATTCAGCACTTTAACTTGCTGTCTTCAATGAACCTGAACAATGTGATTCCATCTTCATTGTCTGCTTAACAGGCAACGCAGCCCAAACCAACCGTTGAACATAAACAAGGGGCATTCACACAAGGATCTTTTTTTTTCCATGAAACAGTTGAGGAAGAGTAAAATATCTGCTCAATTTTAAATGAGAAATTATTTTTAATACATTCATGTACAAACATGTACATCCTAATATATCCATCTTCACAAGATGGTGTCTTCAAATGACTTCTTTGATCCATTGGCTTTTCGTAAAGCGCCTCTACAAAGTTGCTCTTTTATAGTTATTGGGAAATGCTTTGCATGATATTCATAACCCCCAGGGGAAGAGTTATAGCGACTTCATTGATGTTTGTCATTCCCCATAAGCAGAGCTTGGCACATGTCCATTAATTATTATATTCTAATTATTATTTTCGTTTCTTGAATTCACTTTCACCATCTCAAGTTAGTCGACCACATTTGCTCCCGACTCTCCGAAGAGACGAGACTGCTGACCCTGTTCTTATCCTTTTTTTTCAAACTTTTTCCAACGTAGGGAAGAGAAAGTAACGTCCTGTTTCTACTCACACTTTCATTGGCTAAAGTAGCCTTGGAACACAGTGTGTGGAAGTACCTGATTGGTCAGATAAGAAGCCAGTCAAAAGTTCAGCATGCATGATTTAGTTTAGAGGAAACAGCTTAACAGTCCTACTTAATCAATCCTTGGGTCTTTATAGATGTGTTTGGATTCCATATTTTTCTGGATTTGGAGCGTGGGGAATGCTGTCAATGCAGCAGAACCATTTTTGTTGAACTATTTTGACCCTACGAGTTGCCTTGCATACAGAAGCTTTCATATTGTAAAGAAAAAATATTAAAAGACTGGTGGTCTGACAGATGCATAGATTGTGGCTGCTGTGTTGGTTGTACCTTGAAATGGTTTACAAGGTCAGAGTCACAAGAACCGTAACTTTTATGGTGACGTATGCGAATGGCATGAGTGATCTGTAGAACAGAAGGTGTTCACATGACAGTGATAATGAGAAAACACACATGTGGGTCAGGAGAGGTGATATAAATTGTTCAAGTTTAGATTATTTGTGGATTTTCAACACATTCGTGTGTAATCAAGAGATTTTCTAAGCCATCATGACCTCTTAAGAACTCCAATCTATTGACATTGTAAAAGTTGATGTTTTTGTTGTTCTTTGATAATGCCAGTTAAATGTTCATTTTAACTTCAGTTTAATATTAATGTATTAAACAATGTTGAAGAAGTTAAGGTCTTGCCTTCCAGCCATGCCCACCTCATCAGCCCACTCAACTCACCTCTGCACACAGCTGCCGCTCATCTGCAATCAAGCCCAGTATAAAATCCTCTCCTGTTCACTCAGACACTGCCAGATTGTTATTTCCCTTTCATTCTAGACTTTCCAGCAGTCACCATTGGATTGATTACCCGGTATACCCACTCTACCAGCCTCTGACCACCGCACCCTGTCACTCTCCTGGTAACACACTTCAGCTTTCTGTCCCTGACCTCGAGTTCTGTCTCTTTGGCCCTGGATATTGTCTTGACCTCTCCTGGCCTAAGTTTGACGTTTCCCACCGTCGATTCCAAGAGTGTGAGTTTGTAAGTGTGCTATCCTGTGGGTCGCTGTGGTTCAGTGACCTCTTCTGTGTGGCCACACTTGCCCCAAAGGGTGGATTCCAACCTGCTGGCTTTTTCGACCCTTGGCCTGGTTCTGACCTGTCTTTCACCTGTCCCCTGTTGGATTGTTTGTCATTACAGTCTGCTTGAACCACATCCACAGTCTGCTGACTTTTTGTGTGAGAGTTTGTACCCGGATTAGATCAGAGCAGCCAGTGCTCCTGGACTATTAGAAAGACCATTACAGCATCTAGTCTAAAGATTGAACTGAACAGAGCTGAGATTCACCTCTGTTGCTCTGTATCAGTCAAGACCTTGAGTAAAAAAGCATTACCTTCAAGTCTTGTATTAATCCTTCTATAGTTGGCAGATTACACAATCCATGGAAAGAAAAAAAAGACTAGACTTTTAATCAAAGAACAAGATTAATTCACTTGTTGGGAAATGTGTATTTTTTTAAATAAATGTTAGAGGGTCAGAATAAAAGAACAGTAATATCCTCAGGCAGAGAAAAAAAATGGATACTGACACTTTCCTCCGGGACTGTGTATATGTTCAACTGCTCAAATCCACACAGATCAAACCTTAGCCCTGGCCTGCCCTTCTCTGACTGTACTGGGTAATGACAACTCTGTGGAGGAAAGAATTGCCCTTAAGAAAACCCCACCTGTCCAACATGCTGATTTCTTTCAACAGCAAGGTTACCACAGAGCAAAGAAACTCCACTCAGGGATATATTATGAAATAACCGGAGCTATTGGAAGTGATGAAATGAAACTTTTGTAGAGCAGAATCTATTTCTGTTATCCATCTGTTGGGCTTCTGCAAGTAGGAGGGTATAACATAAGGCATGTTGGTCCTGTGCGTGAGCAATAATTGGACGAGATGTTCATAGTAAAAGGTCAGTCTGTGCTTTTACTGAGTATGGGTGTGATGAGTGTGTCTGTGCTATGACCATGTGTCGGCTGTCAGCAGTCGTTCATTCTTGATCAACAGTCTCGTCTCGTTGGCCTCCAGTCCTGGGCTCTGTTCCAGACCTGTCTCCACCTCCTCTGCACTGCCTGTCGCTGCTAAAAATACTCTCCAATTCGAGCCATAAACACACATATGCAAACACTCTGACACATTAAAGTGATCATGAAACTATCATGCATCATGTTGACCATGTACAATAATACATTTCACCGTTGCGTCAACGGCCAAATCATATTTTTTTGGAAAAAAGTCAAATTCTTGGCACTGACGCTTTCACGACACATTAGCAGTGTTCAGACAATGTATGAGTCAGTCTGGAGATTAGAATCTCCAATCTCCTTGATTCAAATCAATAGCTCTCATTCCAGTTTTTGGCAATCAGACAGCATGTCTTATTTGAAGCCACATGTTACCTGTCTTCTTATCATTTTCAAAATTGAAAGTATTTCTAATTGATTAATTGCCCTCTGTTACTCCTCATATTCAGCAGCTGGTAAAAAAAGTTGTATTTTTTTGATGTAAGACTCAAAACCTGCCTTTCCTTTGATTCCAAATAGGGACCGCTTGGCTGCCACTTTTATGTCCATGCTGGACTTTGGTTTATGTTTTATACAAGCACACGGTGTCTCAAGGGTTACATGCTCTGGATTGTGCATCATGGAGCTTTGAGGGTTCATCATGAATTTTAAAGCCTTCACCTGTCATTGTATGATGAATGCACATGTCGGATCATAGTCTTCTCTGTCTAGGCTTTGATTAAAACATTGACATATTTTCATTTACAAGGCTATTTTAGGTCTACTTCCTTCATACCTTCTAACCTACATCAGACAGAAGAGTACAGGGATTTACCATCTTCAAAGTGTCAGAACTGAAATGGGGGAAAGGCTTCCTTTAGTTGGAACAAATTACAAAAACACGTGGCACTTAATGAGCTAGTCTCATTGGATGCTTCTAAAGAGGAATTTAAATGACTTGTCAGCAAGAACTGGCTATAGATATTCTGCCTGATGTGTTATATTGCTGTTTTAATTAGGTATTTTTTGCATTTTCCTCCTTGTATGGCTGCTCATTGTTTGTCAGACGCCATAACCGATTCTATCCGACCTAAAAAGCCTCTTCATTTGTATAATAAGCTCCATGACCAGAAACATGGTAAAACTAGGATAAAACCATGCTTTTGAAAAATGGAGAGAGACACGCAGAAAGGTTTCAAGACCGATGCAGAGCTGGATAAATACTGAAGTTTTGTGTGGCAACCTGAGTTCACATCGGCTGCAGGGAGGAGACGGCTTTCTCTTATGTTTTTTTTTAATTTGGACTGCAGTACCCATTTTAAATGCTAGGTGTCATAGTTACATATTTGCTCCTTAAAGGGCTAAAGAGTTATGATGGTTGTGCTGCATCAACTTTAAAAAAAAAGTGATACTTGAAAGTAAATAATAAATCCTATAAAATGCATCAGTTTTAGCTAATAATACAAAAAAAAATCATGATAAGCATATAAAATGTTTATTTGATGATAACGTAGTGTGTAACATTTTAGCATTTAATCACAAAAGCC